AAAGAAACGAACAAATTGATTCGGAAAAAGATTTGTTCGTTTTGTTGAATGAGTTTGAACAGGAGAGTCACAAACGCGCATCACAGAACAGACCAAGGCGAGCATTTGTGCTTATAAAACTTAAACTTTTTTTTTTTTTAAAAATGAGCGATCGTTTCGCTTGATAAGACCCTTATTCATCGTCTGGAATCGTTTAAAGCCCTTTGAACAATTTGCAGTTTGTAATGAAACTGTCTTTTGGACCTTGAACCGTTTAGTCCCCATTGAAGTCCATTATATGGAGAAAATCCTGGAAAGTTTTCATCAAAAACCTTAATTTCTTTTTGACTGAAGAAAGAAAGACATGGACATCTTGGATGACATGAACAGTGAACTAATCATTTAACCCTTTAAAGCGTGACATAATAGTCAGAAAAATCTCTATATTTGTTTTAATCTAAACATTTATTGAATCTTTAGAGAAAAAGTTTGCATATATATTTGTTTAATCATATTTGGTACAACAGGCTATTATTGCTCATATAGTATGATATAGAAGAATCATAAAATACACTTTAAAGGGTTAAAAGTCTACTAGTCATTTATGTTTTTAGTGTAATTCTTCTCTTTACAGATTTTCTATGCAGCTTTGGATCAGGTGTATCATGGAAAACCACTATACAGATCAACCACTGACATCCTCAGAGAAATGCAGGAGAAATTTTACGGGTTACCATATGTTTATGACACAGTGAGTTGCAGGGTCTCTTTAAGGGTGTTTATATACACACACACACACACTCACCTAAAGGATTATGAGAAACACCTCAAAGAATGCTTTCAGCTCCTTGTTGAATCAATGCCACGAAGAATTAAGGCCGTTCTGAATGCGAAAGGGGGTCAAAAAACACAGTATTAGTTGGTGATCCTAATAATCCTTTTTGGTGAGTGTGTGTATATAATGTAATGCCAAAATAAAATACTAATCCTACATGTTCTCTGATGATGTAGGCTTGGCAGCTGAGATTTACTCACCTGGTTGGCTATGGTGCTAAATATTACTCCTACCTCATGTCCAGGGCGGTTGCCTCTATGGTGTGGCGGCAGTGCTTTCTTCAGGACCCCTTCAGTAGGTCAGTGTAATGCCATTTATCTTATTTTATGGTGGATGCTGGTACGTCAAACTGGTGACTGAAAGTACTATTCTTTTAACATGTTATAGTCATTAGGGTTCACTATTAAACCATACAAAATAAAGCGTCTCATTTGCAGAGTGATGGGAGAGCGTTATCGCAGAGAGATGCTCGCTCATGGAGGAAGCAAAGAACCCATGCTGATGGTTCAAGGTAACTAAAACACTTGGAAAATACATTTTTATAAGAGTTCACCAACTAAATATTCACTCATTTTGTATCCTCAGGAATGCTACAGAAGACCCCTGCCATTGAAGACTTTGTTGACGCACTCGTGCTGGACCTCGATGCTTGATTTCTCCAGATATACACTGGATATCACCTCATTTTTTCCCAATGTGTTGCTGCCTTTTATGCCTTATTAAAATGTGAAAAGATGACATGAAAATCAGGCATCACTTCTATCTATTGTGCATCAGTTGAGATGCATTTCACATTAAATACTATGTGTATTGATAGAAGTGGATAGTTCACCCAAAAACCCCAAAGACTTTCGTTCATCTTTGAAAAAATGAAATCTGGGAGCTTTCTATCCCTCCATTGGCAGCTACACAACTACCAGTTTTTGACACTTCAAAAAGTTCATAAAACTAATCCATATGTGGTTTAATCCAAACTTTCTGAAGATAATTGATCCCTTTATTTTAGTGCTCCCAGATTTAATTTGTGTTCTGAAGATAAATGAATCTTACGGAAACGGAATATGGTGATCAAGCTTGTATGGTTATCAACTCCATGTCATCATACAACTCCAAAACGTTTTATTTTAGTTGGAAAGTGCGTTTACTCTCTGCTGCACTCTTAAATAATTTAGGAACCAAGATCTAATTTTAACACCTTTGTGAATCACACATTCATAAGTCTATCTAGGAATTAGAGTAAAATTGCAATTCTTAGAATTGTGACACACTTAAACACCAGGGGCCGTATGCATAAATAAAGCTTCAGATTCATCAACATCACCATCCTGTCATAACCAGACCCAATATAACTCCAAACCTAATAACTCCCAACGTACATTTCACAGATACTCTTCTGACTAGTACAGACGCTTAAACGTTGGTACATATTCACTTGAAAGAAGAAGAGCACAAACACAAGTTCCATTTTGTGGTTTATTTACCTATACAAAAGACCATAAACTCAAGCCAAGGTGGAATCTGAAAAAGAGATAAATAAACATTTAATGAATGAATCCAGTAGGTGAAAACATTTAAAGCCATCAAATGTGAAAAATTAACAATTTAGTCAAATAATCACCATGTTATGCCTCCTTCTCCGGAACGACCTCATCTGTGCCCTTGGTGTTTCTGGTGTAGATCACCTGAGCCCTGTGCTTGGACACCAGCTTGATGAGACCTGACAACAAAAGCATGGATCCATAACACACACTCACTCTCTTTTTGTGCCAAGTTGAATGCAACATGCACTGTTTGCTTTATTTACACATTCGTATCATTTCCAACATTCCTGCAAATTCATCAATAATTGGCTAAAAATCTAAGTTTGAGGGTCTGAACCCTGAATAATTTAAAACATGCATTAATATTGTAACTTGTGTAAAAATAAAAATAAAAAGTTCACAGTACAATTGTAACTTGCATCAATACATTGTAGTCTTTAACATCTAGTTAATTTTTAAAATTATAGTTTACAAATAATGTCATTTAAATACTGAAATATTAGCCAACAAGAGATTCGAGAAAACATTTGGCAACCATTTTCGCCACACAAGAATAAAAAAAGATGACCAGTCAAAATTATGACAGTCATTGGTATAACATTTAAGTCAAAATTCTGACTTGGTGATAAATATGACAAGATAAAATCGACAATAATGCCATAGATAGTCACAATTTTGACTTTTTATTATCATACCTGCAGCTTAGTTTGTCACTCGCAACTATGACTTATGTGATTTTCAACTTGACATTAAAATTGAGCCGTTCTTTATCAACATTTCTCATAATTACATCTTCGATTGTCAATTAAGACGGTCATAATTGAGATTTACTAAAGCTTTTGTTTTCATATGCTGTGGAAACGGGCTTCCGTAGATGTGTGTACATTACGAATCACTAAAATGAAGTGTTGGGGGTCAGGTCATCACCTTTGCCGAGCAGCTCCTGAAGGGCAGCCCTGGCCAGCGAGCCCCGGATCTTCAGCCTCTCGGACACCACAGCCGGGGTGATCAGCTTGTAGTTGGGGACTTCTTTGTACAGTTTGTCATATGTGGCCTTGTCGAAGAGGACCAGGTTGTTCAGCTTGTCCCTCACCTTTCCTTTGGACCACTTCTACTCAAAACCAAATATAAGAACATGTAGAGTTACACCACAGCTGATTACTCGTGGCAGACAGCTCTTTTAAGCGGGGTGTGTTTTACCTTCTTCTTCGCTTTGCCTCCGGATTTGTTGACGGGATCCTTGTCCTTTTTGGACTTGCCCGCATCCTTCTTCTGCTTGCTATCCTTGGGCGGCTAAGGCAGTTACAGAAAAATCATTGAAATGAAATCACACGCATAAATAAAAACGTATTATATAAATTACATCGATAGTGTTGATAAACCAATGTGTGGTAATGCTATGCGCGTGTGCTCGGGCCTCGCGCACGATGCGGCAACATTACATACAAAATAACCACACAAAAGGCCCGCTTATTCTGCATTATAGTATTCATTATGCTTTAAAAAGTAGGAAACTGTGGTTAAACTACTGCTATTTCACGTGAGAAGTGGGTAAAAAGTGATATTTTCTAACATTATGGAGTCGCTCGAGCACTCACCATGCTGAGGCGTTGCGAGCTGCGGAAGAGAAAGGAAGTAGCGCACGCGCACGTCCGCTTTGTCCGCGTGCACTTCGACTGGTGCAGCGCGTGCTCGCTGTGCGCTCAGTGGCTCGCGCTCGTCACCTGCAGGACTGGAGCGAGCGAGGTGTTCTGACTTTGATACACGGAAATGTTGAGTACACTAGAGTTTTATTGCAGAAGTATCTCCCCAGTATACAGAAACTGCCGGATGTTAATTTGCATATATTGAGCAATTTTCATGATTAGCATTATTAGGTTAATCGTCCATTTTGACCAGATATTTTGCACTCTATGACCAATTTCTACAATATGAGCTTTTAGAGATTTTAGAGAATTCTGATTTCATTTCTGGCACTATCAGACTCCCTCATCTGATTTAAAGTCCCTTTTTTCTTCATTTAAAAATTTGTCAAAACCATTAAATTCTAAGGTTTCTAGAACACATAATATTTTGGAGTCTGTGGTAAAGAACCTTTAATTTGGTTATTTTTACAAATTGTAATATGTTATTTTGTACAACTTAATGCAATCTATTTTGATGTCTGTAACCCCTCTATTATTGTTTTTGTATTTTTTTTCTCCTCTGTTTTGCTGTTATTGTATTTTTTCTTTAATTTGCAATAAAAAATTTTTTTAAAAAAACTATCAGACTCCAAAATGGTAATTCTATAACATATTTGAATAAATTTAGACACATTTTTTTTATTATTAATTTATATTATACTATTAGTACTATTATAGGCGGTAGGGTAAGTGCCCGGGTTGTAACTGTTGTACTCAATGTGCTGTTCGTCTTGCTCATGGGAGAAATAATCAAACTCGTTTACAGAGAATTGTTCGTACAATCTATTATAATAATCACATTTTCAATTTAAGCACGTACCTTTTGTTGTAGGATGCAATGACTGAACTGGAAGTTGTAAAGAAGTGCTGCTAGAAGAATGCATTGTTCTACCACAAGTCATTAGAAAAAAATAATATAAATATGAAAAACTACTAAAAAACTTATGCTCACAATAAAAATACAAAATGAAAAAGTCGTGTTTAAAATGATCCTGTTGACATATAAGCAAAAATTGTACCATAAACATTCTACATTTTTACTTCTTTATTCATGATAAAAGATCCTGCTGGTTGCATGAAATTAGTAAGAATTGCTATTGCTCTGCTAATTCAACCACACTTTCTGCTGAAGATTGGCCATCAGGCTAAAACCACTATACCGACCAGTGTTTCAGATTCATTGTCTGACCTGTGTTTCAAAAATAAAATAATTGCTTTAATACTGGAGGTTATGTGCAAAGAACAAATGTTTAAGTGCAAAAGAACAATGTGTGTCTATTTAAAATGTGTGTACACTGGAGAGAGATGAAGCTGTTACCCACAGTTGAACAAGCATACAAAGAAAGTACAAGTCAAACAACATTCATGTGAAACATGAATTCGTGTTGATACATACTAAGAAAGTAAACAACTTTATATACTTAAATCTGTAAACATTTCTATCCTCACAGTAATACAAAAGATGTACAGTGGAGCCACTTCATCTCTAAAGTGTGTGTGTGAATCTTGTGATATTGCTGCTGAATAAGCTCATGAAAAAAAAAAGATGTGATACTGAAGGTTATCTAAATGCAATTTAAAAATATACATTTTTAAAAGTGCAACAGTAACACTGCATTAAAACAGTTCCTTAAAGGGACAGTTCACCCAAAAATGAAAATTCTGTCATCAATTACTGTAATTTCAAACCTATAAGACTTTCGTTCATCTTCGGAAAATGTAAGATATTTTTAATAAAATCTAATAGATTTCTGTCCCTCCATCAAAAATATATGTTCTCTGATGAATGTTTATGTGAATAAAAACCTAAATTAAATCTGTCAACATATTAAGACATCGTGTCTCTTTACAAGACATGGATAACATCGTTTGAATCACATGGATTTATTTTACAATCTCTTCAATTGTGCTTCATTTATAACACGAGGGTGAGTAAATGATGAAAGAACTTTCATTTTTGTGTAAACGAACTTTAAGACCAGCCCCCGGTTTCACAGACAAGCCTTAAGCCGAGTCCCAGACTAAAACGCATCTTTAAACTGTTTTAACTTGCACTGGCGTATTTTAAAAATATGTCAGTGCTATTGTTTTGTCTCTTTTTTCGAAGGCACGTTTCTAAAATATACTTAAAAGTGCTGTATGTGAGTTTTTGACGGTACTAAAGCATAAAAATATTATATGTTTGCAGATATTTAGGAAACATGCTGAGTTCACATACTCATTTCTCTGAAAAACCCTTCTTCAGCCAGTTATTTTCCTTTGAAATGTGTGTTAGTGTCAATAAATGCACCTTTAAATGCCTAATCTAAGCCCTGTCTGTGAAACCAGGCCCATATCGCCCAATCGAGTGCGCTCACATTTGCAGGGCTCTCTGATTGGATCATTTTAATGAGAGGATTAGTCCATCTTTTTAGGCACGTGGCCCATTTTTGTGCGCATGTTACGCACAAAGAAGAAACAAACAGTTGTTATAGCACAGGACACTTCTGCTACCCAAAATGCTGTGTCCCAGCTGTAGCGCTTAGCAATGGTGCTGAAAGGCAGGCCAGCAACGAATGCACCAACTGAAAAAAAAAGGAAATAATGGTTATATAGCATTTTATCTTCATGCATTTTGTCATGAAACAATTTGAGCAGATTTACCATTTGCCATCAGAGCTACAATAGCATGCGATGTCCCACAGAAATTGGAGGGGGCGCTCTCACTCGCAATCACCCCGAACAAGGCAATCGGACCATATGAGGAAAATCCAAACGCAGCACCAAGAATCAAAATCCAAAGCTGCAGAACAGAAAAATTAAGTTAAAAACCACATTAAAGTTAAAAACCAAGACAATGAAGAATTAAAGTTGCTCTAGACCTCTTTCTCCGAGACTCCAGTGAGGACTGAAAGTGGATGGAGAGCCAAAACCCACAGCGGGCTTCCTGAGGACACACACATGACCATTTAACTAACATATAGATTTTTCAATAACTTTGAATTTGAACTTTAAACTTTGAATAAATTTGAATTTTTAGATTAAAAAATAATAATAAATCACCTCTGGGGTCTCTGGTGTGATGGTAACCCGGAAAAGGTACATGGACACAGCCATGCCTGCCATCATCATCAGGAGAAGCCCATGCCGAGGATTCCCATAGACACCCAGCCCTTGCTGTAAAACAGGAAGTCACTGTTTAACACATAAAATGATCTCAATTCATAACTTACAAATTAATAAAAAAAATAGGAATGCAGCAATATAGCAAAAAAGGAGATAGGCCATTATTTTAAATCTATAGTATTGCAACAAATACTATTAAGACCATAATTCACTTTATATTTAAATATTAATATAATATAACTATTATCAATCTATTGCAACAAATATTATCATTATTAAGGTTTTTCTTCAAGTAAGAGATTTTATTAGATATACGTAATCTGATATATTGTATTCCAAATGAATGGATTATACTGCAAACCGAACCCACCCGAGCAACAGCCCTGTCTGACAGATAACCAGCTCCAATGCTGCCGAAAAACCCTCCGACCTCCAGCGCGCTCATGTATGAGCTTCCTGTGGAGAACAAACACGTTAGCATCCTCACACGGACCTTAAAGGGATCATTCACTTTGAAATTAATGTTTGGTGTGTTTTATCTTACCTCAAGAGCATCCAAGATGTAGGTGTTTCCGCAGTAGTTTCAATTTTGATATTTTTAGGTCAAACCGTTCTTGTCTGTCAGTCATATAATGGAGGTCTATGGTCACCACCTCAAAGAGCATGCACAGAGAAGTCCAAATTAAACATGATTTAATGACTCGTAAATGTAAGTACACATTGATGGCCTAAGACACGAAACGAGCGGTTTGTGTGAGAAAACGAACAGTGTTTATATCGTTTTTACCTCTTGTAACCACAGCCACGTCCAAGTGATCTGAGGGTTTTTGTGGTTACAAGAGGTAAAAATTATATAAATACTGTTCGTTTTCTCACACAAACCGCTCGTTTCGTGTCTTAGGCCATCAATGTGTACTTAATTACGAGTCATTAAATCATGTTTAATTTGGACTTCTCTGTGCTGCTCTTTGAGGTGGTGACCATAGACCTCCATTATATGACTGACAGACAAGAACGGTTTGACCTAAAAATATCAAAATTGAAACTACTGTGGAAACAAAGACACCTACATCTTGGATGCCCTTGAGGGAAGATAAAACACACCAAACATTAATTTCAAAGTGAACTATCCCTTTAAGCTTAAGGATAAACAGCTAGAAAGTACCAGACTCACCCATCATGGCAGACTGGCCTTTTTCCTGCATGAGGAAGAGCTGACCCCAGTCAGTACAAGCGATCTTGACCCCGAACACAACCAGGTATCCCGCAGACAGCACCCACAGGTACGGAGACAGCAGGAACTCTTTCAGACTGCTGTCCTCATTAGGGCCTGGAGCAAGTGGATCAACAGTAGCCAATTAAGCATACTAAAAAAATATTATTTTTTATTTAAATTTTTTTAATATTGTCCAAAACTGAATTTAATCTTGTGAATTAATCCAGTCTTCAGTGATAAACGATCCTTCAGATGTGAATGGGGTGCTCAGAAAATAAAATAAATATATTTTGTAACATAACGAATATAGTCGAATAAAAGTACCAGTATTTTGTTTCTCTCCCGCCAGAGATTGATAAACAGCAGTCTCTCACCTCCCTTCTTCCCTTTGCCCTTTTTGGCTCCAGCCTCGATGTTGGGCAGCCCCACATCACTGGGCTCGTTCTTCACCGTCAGAAGGCAAACGACAGCGACGGCCATGCAGATCACCCCAGACACGGACATGATGATCCTCCAGTTATAGTACTGAACCAGCACTGTGGTGATGATGGGGCCCAGACTTCCCGCCAGGTTCATACTGCAGCACAGGACGGCCCACCACGTGCCGAACTGAGACGGCTCAAACCACTGCAAACACACGGAACAAATAAAAGGATTTCATGGAAACCAATTAACACCATTGCAATACAAGTTAAGCTATTTTCTAGAAAAGGCTTCTAGTTTAGTCGTACGCAGCCCAAAAAATATATATATTTCAAAACTTTTGCGTCTGCTTGCAAAAATGTAGTATTCCCCTGTTCATAATTTTTCTTCCAGATCTTTTTTTCCCATTACCAATCTTTAGGGGCTCCAGTATGGCCAACTTAAACACATGTTGATTGCAAAATTACCAAGCAATGTTGGATAATGTATAGGGGAGAACTTTCTCAGTTTGTGTAAATCAACTAAGGGTTTAGAGTATTTATTTTTCCCCACATTAACGTCCCACATGTCTAGTACAACTATGTGGTTTTGTTTTATTAATACAGTGTATAGTTTTTTCTTGATTTACCCCGAAAGAATGGAAGTGATGTGTGACAACATGCCCCATAGGTGTGGTGAATTGTAACATCACCATATGACAGCTTAAAATAATATCTGATATAATCAAAAAAATATACAAGCCAAACCAAAATATTTACAATTATTAACTTTGTCATATAAAATAAATGCATTTTTTAATAATTAAAAATAAACTCATTTTTGAGTTAGACAAACACACTGGAAAACACAGCTATAGTTCAAAACAAAATAATAATTAATCATTTCTGAACATTGACTCTCAGTCTTTATTTACATGTTTCTCATGTTTTTTCAATAGAATTCATAAAAGTATAGAATATAATAGCACAACTGGGGTTCTGCTAGTTAGCGAAGCTACTAAATCAACTGTTAAACAACAGATTGGAGATTAAGATAATATCAGATTTGTCTAATTTTAAATAAACACAAAAAATTAAGTAAGAAATGTACTTTTGCTATGGTTAAATAAATGTTCAGTAATATCTTACAAAGATAATTTTTTCTCTGTATAGTGTGGAAATGGTCACTAGTAAATACACCAAGTTTCGTCATGCTAGCATGTGTTTAAAACAAGTGTGTTACGCATAATGTTGTGCCCCACGCTCCCCTATATATTAATTATTTTTTATTACCATGACAGCAACAATGCTATCTTCAGGACCACAAAAAAACAAATAATTAACAACTAGCTAAAGACATTTCTGATTAAATTAATACAAGATACAAATTCAAATGTGGTACATTTTTAAATACACCACTTAATCATTTATCTGAATTAAATTAAATTAAAAACAGTTGAGTCCAATAAAATATGTTTAAGAGTCATTGGAGTTTTACAAGCTTGTTCTTCACCTTTCAATAAACAACCATCTGTAAATCTGGAGTAAAAACTATTTTATCATAATACCTTTATTTGAAATTATTAAATATATGAAGAGTTCAGATGCAAAAGCCTCTAAATGCCATTTGAAATTTTCTTCTAAAATGATAATTTTTATCAAGCTTGTATATTTAAGTTCAGTAATTTCACTTAAATGGCAATGAAGATTACCTATTAATTGTCATTTAAGTGAAATTACTGAACTTAAATATACAAGCTTGATAAAAATTTCAAATGGCATTTAGAGGCTTTTGCATCTGAACTCTTCATATATATATATATATATATATATTAGGATTTATTTCATGATGTAACTTGTTTCTGTGCCATTACATTTGCCCAATGCTAGAAAAAACTCATAAAACCTCTTTTTGGGATTTTCCTGAAGTAAAAAAAAAAAAAACAGACTAATAAAATAATTAGGTTACTTTTATAACACTACACTATATGATCATAAGCATATCTAGCCTAGGTAAACAATTAAAACAAATAGGCTATTTACAATCTGAATAGTAACAGTTCTTTAAAATAAACCTAAATCCAAAGCAATATTAGTTATAATACTATAACACCCACTGAAATGCATGTCATACTCAATATTTATTTTGCCGCAGACCCACAAGCGCCGCGTCCAGGTTGTTTTGGCTCAGTGAACTGCTTTAATTAGATTTAAGTGTCTTGTAACTCCACGAGGACCAGCTGTTCGGCGGCATCTCGAATCCATCTGTGGCATTCAGGCGGTGCGAGGTCAGCAGAAGATGGAGTTCCCGACTATTCCCGTCACACTGCCCACACCGGACGACAGGTGCACACTAGACCAGAAAGGCAAAGCCTTACCTTCCGAAGCACCTTTCCACACGGCGGCCAGCCGAAGCCCTGACCGAACCCGTTCACGAACCAAAGCACGGTGAACATCATGACCGTGGAGGACCAGGAAAAGGCGATGTTTATGGTGCCCACGATGAAGAGGCCGATGGCGAAGAGCCAGCGAGCGCTGATCCGGTCAGAAAGCACTCCGCTGATGAACTTACTGATGGCGTAGGCCAGAGTCTGACTGCTGGTGATCAGGCCTGGGACACACACACACACACACACACGTGAAAGAGCCACTCGGGCTGTGCTCTGGCTTTGGCATGGGTTTCTTAGCAAGCCATGAAACAGGCCCAATGCATTGCACTACAACAGGGGTCTTCAATGGAGTGACTGATATATATGCACAGACACACACATACAGATTGCTGTCTGTAAGATTTCTTAAGGTTTTTGATCAAAAATACAGTCAAATAAAACAGTACAAAAAAAGTAATACTTTTAAACATTATCATCATATTTCTATTTTACACTCTAAACAATGTTGGGTTAAAAAAAATGTCATTTCAAATTTTAACCCAACTTTCACTTTCAACTGTGTTGCATTTGGGTTTGTCCATATTTGACCCAAATTTGGGTTGAAACAACTCAGCATTTTTTAGAGTGTAAAATATTTTAAACTATAATTTATTCCTGTGAGGTTTTCAGCATCATTACTCCAGTCTTCAGAGTCACATGATCCTTCAGACATCACTCTAATATGAGGATCTGCTGCTCCAGAAACATTACTATTAGAGCCAGACCGATATATCGGCCAACTGAAATTATCGGCCGATATTAGGCATTTTCCATAATATCGGTATCGGCAGTCATAATGGCCGATAATTGAATATTTAAAAAATAAAATAAAAACGGATGAAACACACTTCAATTATCTCTCCATCCATATATTGAAAATGGATGTTTTACAATTTGCAGTATGATGTTATCTATTGCTAAATTCTGGCTCATCATAGACTAGCTAACCACAAAGCTAGCTAATACCACTATCATCAGTGGAAGACCGCTAACGTTAACATTAATGAGCTTGGAAACCACAATGAACTTTTTCTGCCTAAATAAAGTAATTATTACTGTATTTATAACTAGCATATCTCTAGTTGCAGTCCCTGCATTGTAAAATGTAAGTTAGACTTGCGAGGAGTGAACATTTAGACATAGAGAAAAAGTATCAAACGTATCTTGTGCAGAAAAGTTAGCTTTTCTTTTACACGTGTGTGAAATCCAACAATATTTACTAAAAAAATAATATCGGCCGATATATCGGAATATCGGATTTTAAAACCCAAAAATATTTGTATCGTATCGGCCTTCAAAATCCTTTATCAATCGGGCTCTAATTACTATTATCAATGTTGAAAACAGTTTTTTTGATGATGCATTTTGTTCAGGATTTTTTGATTAATATAAAGTTCAAAAGAAAAGCATTTATTAAAAACGTATCAATAATGTCACTTTTGATAAAATTCAACACAACCTTGCTGAAAAAAAGCATGAATTTCTTTATATATAATACAAAACACAAACAAACTGATCCCAAACTTTAGAAGGGTTCCACACTTACCCAGATCTTCTTTATCCAGATCAATCTCCTCCATCACTGACGGCATTAGGAAGGAGAACGTCTTTCGGTTGAAGTAATATAGCATGTAGCCCACAAACATTGAGATAAATATAACAATGCGGTAATATCCATAATCTGCTGCTCCCATGATTGCGGTTGTGAGCCAAACAAGTTCTTATAGCACTGGACAAAATCCGTTTTCTCCTGGAGAAACTTTCAGAAACTGATCCAAAGGTCTAAACAAATTCATGTGACTTCTTAACGGTGATGAAGATTTTTAGCTCCTGTCCAGTCTCATTCACCGTCTCTTCAGCCGGCATTCACTGCTGTGCCTGGAAAACATCTCAGAGTCATTTACTTTAGTCTCTATGCAAGCAGCTTCTGTGAAATGCAAATACATCTGAGCAGAAACTAAGACTCTTTATAGCACTATTTGAAGAGTTCAGATGCAAAAGCCTCTAAATGCCATTTGAAATTTTCTTCTTTATTGATGATTTTTATCAAACTTGTATATTTAAGTTCAGTAATTTCACTTAAATAACAATTAATAGGTAATTATCATTGCCATTTAAGTGAAATCAAATCACTGAACTTAAATATACAAGCTTGATAAAAATTATCATTCTAGAAGAAAATTTCAAATGGCACTTAGAGGCTTTTGCATCTGCAGACCTCAATGCAGTCTAAATGCCAAAGGGTTTCTTGAGTGACCATAGATTTAAACAGCAATATGAATTTGAAACATGATGCAGGGGTCAAGGGAACATGTCTTGCAAGAATGCCATAAAAATAACATGCTTTCTGCACATTGCGTGGGGACACATGCCCTCTCAATGGATGTAAGAGTTCATTTAAACGAGAACTGTTGAGAAAAAAAAAAAAATGCTGTGTGAATTACATAGGCGTTTTTGATAACCCTGCGTCGTAAATACATGCACGCGCACGGCACGAGATTACAGAAACACAAAACCCGCGGTGACGTCAGTGCATCAAAACGGCGAATGCAGTAACAACACTGATTCTGACCTCAACAACAAGCTTCCTACTACCACACTAAACGTATTTATTATGTAGGCTAATGCGTAGATACATTGAGAGACTTATATCTTGTTTGAACAGTTAATGTTGCTTGACAAGTTTCAATAGAAATAAGGAATAAAGTGTACCTCAGACACCCGAGCTCGCGTTCAGAGTTCACGCCGCTGCAGGAGCTCCTTCTCTAATCTCTGTTCTGATTGGCTGTCAACCTGTCATTCATGTCGCGGTGGGCGGGCTTTAGTCTTCTTGCAGTAGTGGCACATTTCTATCATTTTTTTTTGCATTTGTGGAGTTGTTTTTAAATCTCCTCTAAGATTTCAAATCAATGTACCCGCAGAGACGTCTATTTGATGTGTGTGTTTACATCTGGAAGACGTGTTTGCTCATCTGCAATACATCTATAGGAGGTTTCCAGTCAGGTGTCAAATAGACGTTTATAAGATGTTTTTAAGATGTAATGATGTAGAATGTATGTTAAAATCAGAGGTTAGGAAATAGCAGATGCTTTCCAGATGAAGTGATCTTTGACAGACATCTTGCAGACGTGCGTGTGCTATCTGGGTAATGATTAAGAAAATTATTGCTATGATTATCATGATATTCTTTATGTTATATCTATGATAAATCATTTCAAATACATTGTTCTTGTATTAATCAAATTATTATATCTTTTTTGCCTATTAGGCCTATATCTTTTAATATCATATACTCAGGGACAGAAAGATCTCAGATTTCATTAAAAATATCTTCATTTGTGTTACGAAGATGAACGAAAGAACAACATGAGGGTGAGTAAATAATAACTTTTTATTTTTGAGTGAACTATCCCTTTAACATGACATGTCCTATGGTGCTGAAGCAAAGATGTAGAAAAAAGGACTACAACCACTAGATGGCGGTAATAGAAAGTATAATGTATAGGCCTATGCCCTGTGTTTTGTATTGATGGACTGGTTTCACAGACAGGGTTGGATTAGGCCTTAGTTTAATTGGTAGATTTTATAAAAATTCTATTTTTTATTGCATTATATTTCGATTTTTTTACCTTGCTAGTGTGCATCTTGAGACAAAACAATGGCACATGTCAGTTCCAGTTGATTTAAATTAAGACAGTTTAAACATGCATTTAATCTGGGACTAGGTTTAAGACTGTTCTGTGAAACCGGGGGAATAATTAATATAAAACCAATATATAATGGTGATATATGATGTTGTGTTTATTATTTCAAATAATACAAATATTATTTTGAATAATGTTTTTATGTTCCATAATTGTTGCAATGTTTTTCTGTCGAAATTTGAGCAAATAATACATCATTGAATTTTAAATGAGTATAATATTAATTGAAATTATTATAAAACATTTTTTTTTTTTTTTTAGATTTCTACTGTGACAAACTACCCCATATAGTGTGACAACATGTTGGGGAATTTTGTCAGACAAAATCAGCCCTGCGAAATATCCACTGGGGTAAAATATGGGCCAGTATAGCCGCCAGGCGACTCATGAAAAACACTGGTAACAAAAAAACAAAACAAAAAAAACCCTAAACCAAAACTATTATTAAACTATTATTAAATATTGCTGACTCAACCTAATTAATACATTCATTTGTACCAACAAAATCAATTTTACAGGTTAAATCATTTTTAAAAAATCAATAAAAACAGCTTTTTAAGAAATAAAGTGTACTTTTTACAATGTGGGGTTTAAATTACCTCACTTTTAAACACAGCACAAAGTTCCTTCTGACATGCTGTTTAGATCTTGACAGCTAAAGTCATGTGAAACACAGTATAATAATATTGCAGTTCAAATAACAAGTCTCTAATGCATCTCCACACCCTGTTCAGAAATGAACATCTGTTTAAACTCATCACGTGTGTGTGTGTGTGTGTGTGAGAGAGAGAGAGAGACACACACAGAAAGAGAAAGAGAAGCAGCACAGAATGCTTTACTTCTCTTCAGATTGTTACCGTTTTCTTTGTTTTGTAAGAACACATTTTAGATTAGAATGTGCCTTTATAAATTAATCACTAAAAGCATTTGCAGGAGCAAAGGAAGATGAGGGAGGAATCTGTACAGGGCGGGAATCGGCACACTTGAAAGCACTCAGGTAAAAAGAAAATCTCTTCTACAATTAATGGACTGAATCATCATTAATTCATACTCTGACATCCTTATATCATTTTTAAAACAATTAGAGACCCAGACACATGGAAGTGCTGTGCTGTTTAATACGCCGCTGTATGTTTCCTGTCTCCATCTGAGAAACTGTGATTACTCAGCACATGTGACCGTGTAAGGGGTTTTTCTGTTTCTAGAAGCCACTAAAACTTGTCTCTTGGTATATGTGTGATTTGTCAGTTTAACCAGGGCAAGGCATTTTCAGCTTCTGTATTTTCACATCTTTTGTGGAGATTGAAATCTTTTTTTTGAAACGATACACATCAGCTCGAGAGAGAGAAATACAGGGAGGGAGAACATAAGAGGAGGAGCGAACGTCTGTCGTTTTTATCAGCGATCTCCAGCCAGATTTGTTCCCTCTGTTGCCATAGCAACAGTCATTATGCACACTTTCAGATTGTGAAGTTTGTATTCAGGAACTGGTTCTATTTGCACAATTTCCAACTCAGTCTGATCTCCTCTTCTGCCAGATTTCCATCTCAGTCTGATTTCACTATCCAGTCTCCATCTCAGTCTGATTTCCAGCTCAGTTTGACTTTACTGTCAGATATCGACCCAAGTCTGATTTCACTGTCTGATTTCCAACTCATTCTGATCTCTTCCTCTGCCGGATTTCCATCAAAGTCTGATTTTATTGTCTGATATCCACCACAGTTTGCTTTAACTATCAGATTTTACCAATTTCCAAATCAGTCTGATCTCATGCTTTCTGATTTCTAACCCAGTCTGATCTCATCCTTTCCGATTTCCAACTCAGTCTGATTTCATCCTTTCAGATTTCCAACTCAGTCTGATTTCATCCTTTCTGATTTCCAACTCAGTCTGATCTCATGCTTTCTGATTTCCAACTCAGTCTGATCTCATCCTTTCTGATTTCTAACTCAGTCTGATTTCATCCTTTCAGATTTCCAACTCAGTCTGATTTCATCCTTTCTGATTTCCAACTCAGTCTGATCTCATGCTTTCTGATTTCCAACTCAGTCTGATCTCATCCTTTCTGATTTCCAACTCAGTCTGATTTCATCCTTTCAGATTTCCAACTCAGTCTGATTTCATCCTTTCTGATTTCCAACTCAGTCTGATCTCATGCTTTCTGATTTCCAACTCAGTCTGATCTCATCCTTTCTGATTTCCAACTCAGTCTGATTTCATCCTTTCTGATTTCCAACTCAGTCTGATTTCATCCTTTCTGATTTCCAACTCAGTCTGATCTCATGCTTTCTGATTTCTAACTCAGTCTGATCTCATCCTTTCCGATTTCCAACTCAGTCTGATTTCATCCTTTCTGATTTCCAACTCAGTCTGATTTCATCCTTTCTGATTTCCAAATCAGTCTGATCTCATGCTTTCTGATTTCTAACTCAGTCTGATCTCATCCTTTCCGATTTCCAACTCAGTCTGATTCATCCTTTCTGATTTCCAACTCAGTCTGATCTCCTTTCTGATTTCCAACTCAGTCTGATCTCATGCTTTCTGATTTCCAACTCAGTCTGATTTCATCCTTTCTGATTTCCAACTCAGTCTGATCTCATCCTTTCTGATTTCCAACTCAGTCTGATTTCATCCTTTCCGATTTCCAACTCAGTCTGATCTCATCCTTTCTGATTTCCAACCCAGTCTGATCTCATCCTTTCCGATTTCCAACTCAGTCTGATCTCATCCTTTCTGATTTCAGTCTGATTCATCCTTTCCGATTTCCAACTCAGTCTGATCTCATCCTTTCTGATTTCTAACCCAGTCTGATCTCATCCTTTCCGATTTCCAACCCAGTCTGATCTCATCCTTTCTGATTTCCAACTCAGTCTGATCTCATCCTTTCTGATTTCTAACCCAGTCTGATCTCATCCTTTCCGATTTCCAACTCAGTCTGATCTCATCCTTTCTGATTTCCAACTCAGTCTGATCTCATCCTTTCTGATTTCCAACCAGTCTGATCTCATCCTTTCCGATTTCCAACTCAGATCTCATCCTTTCCGATTTACAACTCAGTCTGATCTCATCCTTTCTGATTTCCAACTCAGTCTGATCTCATCCTTTCTGATTTCCAACCCAGTCTGATTTTTAAGTCTGATCTCCTCTTTTATAAAGTACTACTACTACTACTACTACTACTACTACTACTACTACTTCTGCCGGATTTCCATCTCAGTCTGATTTTATTGTCTGATATCCACCTCAGTCTGACTGCACTTTCTGACAGTCTGATTTTTTTCCCGGCGGCCATTGTCGATTACGAATCTCCACGAAACCCTGCGTCAATCGGATCGCGCAAAAATCGTGTATTCTGAACTAGGCAGTTTAAATCTATGTGTTTTAATTCTGTTTGAAGGTGTATAATTTTAATTTGTCCAATTGTTTTTTCAGATGTTTTATTATGTTCTTTATCTGTTGTACAATGTGCTTGATTAATAAACTAAACTAAGCATTGGTAAACAAAGCCTCATTCTTGAGGTAGCCTAATATTATTCCTCATGTTTTGGGAATTTGAGTTGGTGACGTTGTTGATGATTGGCCTTTGTTTTTGCTGCCATCTCCCATCAGCATCCACAATTGCAGTCTTTGTTGTCAGAATGAGAGGACGCATTCTTCCGGAGGGATGACCTCTCATCCCCTGCTGGCCTGGCACTGCCCGCTCTCTGTCTCCATCTCTTATTGTCTTCTCTCTCTCAAAGGCAGCAGGACATCTGACCGATACAGTGTGTAAATGCTTGTGTCAAGACAACGAGAGATACATGCAATATGTAAGTATAACTGGCTTTAATATAACATTTTTAAATGGTGATATGCTTTCAAAAGTGTGAGATGTATGGGATGTAAATGTTTTAAAAATTGAGAAGAAATTGTGAAAGAAAACGAAGCTTTTTTTTAAGCAAGCTTCAGTTGTGCTGAATATATAGATCTCCGGCTTTCTCTTCCAGCCAAATTTAGCAACACATCCATATCTCCCTCTGGGACACGCGCACAATAATCAAACCCGAGACAAGTGTGTGAGGCACCACGCAGTGCTGCGTTTCTATTGGTTGTTTAAATGTTGGTCTAAACGAGTGAATCTGGGCCTCTTGCATAAGAAATGGAGACAGGCAAAAGATTAGGAGGCTTTATTTGACAGTGTTTTGGAGAACATTATGAATTAATCTCATAAAACCATGCCCATAATGAAAAGCAAGATTTGTTTGCTTAATGGGGCGGCGCTAGGGGTGGCCTAAGGGGGCTGGAGCCCCGAATGTTTTTATTACCATGCATTGTACACACCATCACTGAGAGAATTGAATTAATTAAATGTAGGATGCTATATCTCTCGACTCTCGCATCATAGCGTCCGTCAACCGACAAGAACCGCCCACTCAGGCTAGTGCTTCTGACTGACATGTAAACTGGCCAACCATCGATGAGAAGCTCAGCGTCTGTACGATCCAGCCAATGAAATTAAATATTTTGGAGCCAGGCGGTTTGTTGATGTGTTTATTAGTAGCCTAATGAATGATTAAAATGGACGGTATCAAAGTTCTTCCAAAAAAAAAAAAAAAAAAAAAAAAAAGGAAGTAAAACACCCCCAGCCATCACTAAGATACAACAGCTTCAGCAGGTATCTGTAACTTTTAATCATAGTATTAGATTTCTTTCTTTAGATTGTCAGATATACATTTTGATCGTCTACTCTAACAGTTTGTGCAGCACAGTCTATCACACACACAAACGCATTTTGAGAGTGTTAAATGTTTAGTCTGCATGGTCTGCAGGTGTCAGGGAAACAATTCAATAAGAAAAGATAATATACTAAACATAAAGCAAATATTTCGCTAACGAAAATGGCTTCAAACAAAGCATCACAGTGTTTATTGATTGAATTTGCTTGTAAACGATTCACTGACCGCCATTCAAAAAACATTTCTTACTTTTTTTTCTAAATGAATCATCTGTTTTGAACGAATCGATTGAATAAACCGACTAATTCATTAAGGCAGTGGCTTGCCGCCATCTAGTGGCAAAGTATCATTTTCATTTTTTTCAATATTTCATATTTTTGTATTACAAATTTGATATTTGATACATTAGTCTCATACGATTTATGCAAATTGTAAGTGCTGTGTAAAACGCATCTACAAGTGCTCCTTCAAAAATATAAGTGTAGAGTGTTTGTGTTTGTATTATGTATAAAGTAAAAATAAGGTAGCCTATAAAATGTCATATATGCATGAAGAATGGGTTAAGATTTTTTTTGTTATTATAGAGATTCTTTAGTCACCTCTTTTTATCTATTCTCACAAAAATCATGTTGTTAAGTGAATGCTATTTATTAATACAGTAATAGAGCTGAGCTTGCTATTTTACCATGTCTCAGAGTCAGCGAGGGAAGAAGAGGCTGTGTGACATTGTGATTTTTAATTTTAATTACCAATAAATATTCACCTTGTAAAAAAATAACAATAAAAAAAAAAACAAATTTAAAAATGTATTCCTTGTATCGTGACACATATACATGGATTTCTCTGGGCTAAGCCCCGGATATCCACTGACCCTAGAACCGGCCCCAATACCATCTTTTTTAATGGCACAAAAGCACAGTCATCCACATTCATTTTTAATGTTTATTTTTTTCTTTTATGTTTTAATGTTAAATGCGTTTAATTTAAATGAACATAATGTCAGGAGGACAATGTAAGTACTTCTATGTTGTATAAATACTGATAGATATATTTTTAAATAATTTAATATAGGTTTTTATGTAATATTATAAACCAATATTTATACACTGCCTGTCAAGTCCTTGTTTGGATTTACATTTTGTCATTATTTTGTGACTTACTGAGACACACAATGGTCTGACCTAAATCTAAAACCCAAATTATTGACAGAGAGAGAATGTGTGTGTGTGTGTGTGTGTGTGTGTGTGTTTACAACTTGGCTGCTCTGTTCCTGACCAGATTCTCATTCATTCATCTTCCTGTTTAAAAAATGCTGGGTTGTTTTAACCCAAATTTGGGTCAAATATGGATTAAAACTTAAATTTTTAACCACACATTTGGGTTTGTCTATATTTGACCCAAAATTGGGTTAAAACAACCCAGCATTTCCGAGTGTGCAAATCTATGACATTTATTTGTTCTAGTTATGCTCTAAAACATTTCTAAATGTGATTATGTGTCTCAATTATTCGCATGTCTCAGTTCCTGATGGAGATTCCTGCTGCGGGGAAAGAGAGGGATAGACACCGGTAAGCTCATTCAACATGCAGATAAACGTCTCTATCGTAGGGAATGTCCTGCTGGACTGAATATCTACTGAAGACATGAAATACTCAAACATCTCTTAAAGAGACCAGAGATTGTGAGAATGCATTCAAATTTTTGGTCTCCTCAAATCTCTATTCAATTGGTACTAAAGCAAAGTTTAAAGTGTATACTGACCTATTTTCTGGGAAAAGGAAGCTGCAGAGAATCTCAAGTAGATCCTGACTTTACTCATCCTAAGAGCTATAAATCACGCTGAACATTACAGGGACGTGTGCATGTCGTGATGGCAGCAATGCTTTCAAAATTGTTCAAATCTCAAACCCCAAGCATTGATATAATGATTCTTGCCTTAGCAAACGGCACTTATGAAGCAGGGATGCTCGGTTATGGCAAACATTTAGATCATGTTTACTTCAAACCATCTCTCACTGACTTTGGAAACATCATGCATTTATTAAACTTAATTTAAAAAAAAAAAACAGACAAAAAATTCATATAAAATAATATCGAAATAATAAATCAAAATAAATATGAATATTCCTCAACATACTGAAAACTCCTAAAAAAACATATTAGTAAATTATATTAAAAATATTAAAAAACGTATTTTATAGTTAATAAAATATTTTTTTATATATAATAATATTTTTTAAATGATAATTTTTTGAAAATATTTGAACTCTACTTCAGTGTTAGAGCAACAGGACACAAAAGGGAGCAATGATTAGCCTGATTCATGCCCAGGGCTGTGTTCGACCCTCATTGACTATTCCCTACATTAGTCCACTAATATATGTCACTTGAGGGAGGGAATGAACCAAGGGATTGAATCCATGCATAGTTTGAGCTCGCTGTTTAATAGTCATTTGAAACTGGCAGCTCCAGTGTGATGAAAAGATTTATCAGTTATGGAAACTATGGATAAACCCTAATTAAACCATTTATTAATCAAATAAAAACGGATTTATACCTGTATGATATTACGCCTCAGCCACATTGGACCAGCGGGCTGGAATGATTTTGATAAACGCTGGCCAATACAAATCGTGACTGGCTGTCAACAAATTGCATTGATTTTTAAACTATAAAGTTTATAAAATAAAAAAATCATAGGTTTTGACCTACGCTCACTTGTCAGTTGTAGTGTTAATCTTCACACAGTTTTAGTCTTTTCACAAAAATGTGAATTTTTATTTTAATTTTAACATTATTAGTCATGACAAAAATGGCAGCAGTCAATGGCATTGTAGTTGACAAGAATTAAAATAAAAAATATATATTAAAAAAATGCTCACATATTTTACATGTCTCAGCCCTTGTGAAAACGAGCATTGCAATACAATATTGTGAATTATTTAATGTTTTATTACAGAAAGAGCTGTGATTAATTTTTTAAGTAATCATATAACATTTATTTTTCTTGCAGGATTAACAATTAAATGCTTTTGAAAGCTGAAATGTCGCCAAACACTCAGTGTGTCTGAGTCATGTCTAAAGGGGAAATGAAACTAGACAGATATCTTTATTTATAGAATCTAACCCTAATCTCCAGAGTTTGGGTTTGCAGAATTATGCTAATGAAGAACCAATCATATTGTACCAATCATATTTGTTATAATGTTTCCGTCGGATTCATCTGGTTAGTCGGCTAAATAAATGCCTTTGGGTGAGTTCAGTAAACTGCTTTATTTGACTGGTTTTACTGGTTCATTCACTGTTCTTCCTCACAAAACCCCTTTTTTTTAACAGAACAAGTAAAATTATCTCAATTATCAGGTTTTCATAATCATTGAAAGCTTATAATTTGGTTTAATATCAATCACTAAGGTGACTTGTTTGCCACAGGTAAGACATGCCGAAGAGAAAGGACTTCCTGGCACTTGTTTTGATTGTCGTACCGTGGACGTTACTCCTCACGCTTTGGCACCAGCGCGCTGCTAACCCGCTGCTTCCAGTTGCGAAGGGTAAATACTGAGATCGTTCTTACAATGCTGCAAGTTGTGTGGTATCTTACTACGCTACATGCCGCCAGATGTTGTGGCACATCCATTTAATCATTTCCATTTTAGTCAGGGGCATATCTGCAATAAACTTCAGCTGATCATTTTGCAAAACTAACACAATACAACCAAATGGTATGAAACTTCCTACGGCTTTCAACACTTCCTAGATCTACAAAAAAAAAAAAAAAATGGAATTTTATCTGTTTTTATGTAGGCATGACAAAAATAGTCACACTCGTGGTCTTCGGGGTCCATTGGACCCCAAAAAAATAACATTTAATTTTGTAACAGAACAATATATATTTTTTTTTACAAGTATTATTTTACTGTTTATTAATGTTTTTACTGAACATTTGTGCAGTTTTTGGAGGATTTATGATATCTTTTAAATATCTATAAATAAATAAATAAATATTTATTTATTATTGGACTCAAAATAGACAAAATTCATCATCAAAATCAGAAATAACGCAGAACACAGACAGAAATGACAGAAATAAAGTGGCACACTTCCAAAAATGCAAAAAACTTCCACAATCCAAAATGATCATGCTCACACACGTGCACACACACACAAACACACATATAGAGGAACACAATATACAGGAATGAATACAGAATATAAAAACTGTTCGCTTATCATTTGTAAAATAAAATACTCTAAAATGCAGAACCACCGCAAAAATAAATTGGTAACACTAAGACACATTGAAAATGTGCACACACACACACACACACACAGGAATACATTTGTAAGGCTATAAAAAAGATAAAAGAAATTTATCAACTATAGTTCTATTGTTCCAAACTATTGTTCCTAGTTGTTCGATTTTCTTCCCAATTTACTTTTTTTACAAATATTTTATTTTTACTGCTTTATTTGCTAATTTGTTATTGCTGTTCACTTGAAGTAAATGATCAAATCTTAAGACGGAAACATTTCTCTGTGTAGCATGTTGTTCAGGTTTGATTCTAATCATATTCAAATAGTATATAGGCCTAGTGGAGCTCTATAGACATCTAGTGGTTAAAGTGACTTATTACAAATTTTAACCTGTATTTTCCAAAAATTGGGCAAAATCAACCTTGTAAAATTATCCATGGTATCCCCAAGAATGAAAGTTAGAAATCTGGGTCTTTTATAAAGTTTATTTAACATAAAATGCTGTTTTTTTTGTAAAAATCTTATTTAAATAAATATTTATTTATTTATAGAAATAAATAAAAAATCATAAATCCTCCAAAAACTACACAAATGTTGAGAAAAAACATTAATAAACAGAGTAAAATTATAATAATATATTATTCTGTTACAAAATTAAGTGTTATTGTCTGGGGTCTGATAGACCAGAATTGTGACTTTTTTTTGAAGACCATCAGAGGGTTAAAAAGTTACCATAAGTGAAAGGCGTCTTGTGGTGCCATCCCAATCACTTTCACAGACCTTTATTTTGACCGTCCCATGTATTGTGCATTCCTACTCTAAACTTATATTTTATGGACAGTTAACAGATCTGGGGTCAGTAAAGCTCACCAGAGAAACTTTAGACTTCATGATCCCTGCATCACAAAAAGCAAGCACATCTCTGAGGTCAGGCAGACGAAGTACGTCCACAGCCGCTCTCCACCCTGGTCTGGTGCGTTGCCAACTCTTCACGTCATAACTCCAACCTACAGGAGGCCCGTCCAGAAGGCAGAGCTGACCCGCCTCACCAACACTCTCCTACACGTCCCCAACCTTCACTGGCTGCTGGTGGAGGACGCGGCGGAGAGGACGGCGCTGGTGTCCAGACTGCTGGAGAACTCTGGACTGAATTACACTCACTTGAACGTAGAGACGCCTCAGAATCTCAAAGTGCTCAAGAATTCAAAAAAAAATGCTCGTATTCCTCGTGGCACCGTGCAGAGGAACCTGGGTCTCCGCTGGCTGAGGGAGAACGTCAACCCCAGCTCGGGTCATCAAGGGGTCGTGTATTTTGCAGATGATGACAACACGTACAGCTTGGAGCTGTTTGAGGAGGTCAGTACATTGATCTGCTGTTCATAGTTTGTGTACTTCTTTCATATTTCCTTCTCCATCCTCTCAGATGCGTTGGACTCGTAAAGCCTCCGTCTGGCCGGTCGCCTTCGTTGGAGGTCTCCGCTACGAGTCCCCCAAAATCAACTCTCAAGGCAAAGTGTTTGGGTGGAGGACGGTGTTTGACCCTCGTCGACCTTTCGCCATTGACATGGCTGGGTTTGCGGTGAACCTTCAGCTCATCTTCAGCAAACCTCAAGCCTACTTTAAGGTAAAAGGGGTTAAAGGTGGATACCAGGAGAGTAGTTTGCTACAGGATCTGATCACTCTCAGTGACCTCGAACCCAAAGCCTCCAACTGCACAAAGGTGAGTCCTAAACCTGAATCTTCATAACCTTTCCTAATCATTTCAGTTCCTTTTTATTTTTTTGGAAATTACAAGGTTTGTAAAAGGAAAATGGCTTCTGGTTTCAGGTACTGGTTTGGCACACCCGGACCGAAAGACCCTTGCTTGTGAATGAGGGGAAAAAGGGATTCACAAATGCCAGCGTGGAAGTATGATGAACTGTTTTAAATACTGAAGTATCCTGTCAAGTGGACCGACAGCAAGAAAGTATTATTCAGAGTATTTGTCTAAAACACTCTCACTAAAGGAGTTTAAAGGAACTGTAAAGAGTCAAGAGTTGTTGTGTTGGAACCATAGATGTATAAATATAGATCCCTCACTCTGTTTTTATGGGCCGAAGCCATCCGCCGTCTGTGAACACTCAAGAGAAAGTTTACTAAGTGTCTACAACCGTAGTTAAATGCACGTGTGGATAGGCGAACAAGACGAAGCCGTGAGCTAACACAGCATTAAAATGTTACCAACCATAGTGTAAAAACCTTTTATATTGAGTTAATGTATAAAAACACCAACACATTCTCACCTGTGATAGGTTATCCCATTTCTTCAGGAATTTAAATCTCAGCGGATTAACAATCAAGCTGTGCAATGTTGTAGCATCATTGATTCTTACTGTGAATGACGATACTCTGACTGTTCCAAGATGGCGGACGTGCACGTGTGTCTGTAACAACTTACAGAAAGTGCTCTGGGAAAATTCCATTCCGAGCTTTACAATGCTGGTTTGATTTAGGAGTTCAGATACAATTTGGTCTGATTGCTTAGAAAGTTATTAACACACACCTTTCCCTCAATTAAACTGCCCAATACTAGTTAAAGTTTAATTCAAACGTCAAACCATAAATACAATTTCAGCATGAAATCATTCTCAGTGTTTGCAAAATGGTAATGCTGGAATAAATGCACTAATGTTAACACTTGGGTGCCTGTGGAAATTGTTGAAAGAAAACAATATTTAAGTTTTCAAATCAAACTGCACTAATACAACTAATGTCAGCTGGTCCAAAGAGACAATCAAAAAAATTATTTCTTGCCAACAAATTAAGATCAAAAAACACACTCAAGTGGCAGCCCAACTAACACAAAGTATACACAATTTAGCATTTGATATATAGTACAGTTCCCAGCAAGACTGCACCTTTTCATGAAAACTTTAGAATATTCATGGAATGCAAAGAGCCCGTGTATATAATAAAAAATGTTTTTAATAATTGTTTAACAATCTCAACAGTGACATAATTATTATTTTTTTTGGTTCAGGCACTTTGGTAGTGTTCATGTCTTTAATGTCTGTGTCTTGATTAAATGTCCACTATCATTCCCAGATCAGGAGAGTCTTCAAACTGGATTTTAAAATCCGCTTCTGCTTCCTCAAACACAATCACCTGTTGAACAACAGATCTTTCAGTCTTTATTTCTTGTCAGTGAACATTCAAGATTCTGAATATTTTCACAAGGATTCAAGACTGATATTTACAGACTAAAGCAAAAAACAACCAGCAGTTCTTAGGAGCCAAATAAATCCTGATTTCTATAAACTGACTTGGTTCATTCCGCTGTTGAGGAAGGGTCCTGGTAGAAACAGAGCTTGCTGAGGTCCGGCATCCCAGTACCGTCCGATGTTTTGCCCATTAACGAAGACTACACCCTTACTCCAACCCTGCATGGGGACACAATAATCAATACATTATTTCTGACCATATTTAAGCGTTCAAATCTTATTCAGATTCATTCCACTCACCGGCAGCTTCATGAAAGTGTCACTGGGATACCCATTGACGAATAACCTGCCCTGGAAAAAGCCTGGGAAGCTTGGTTTGATGGTGACGGACTTCCAAGGTGCCCGGTACAAGCTGAAAGAAAAGCACTGAAGTTTGTTTCCCGAATCTTTTATGGCCTGTCACATCATGTGAGATCTTACTCACCTTACAATAAAGCCAGGAGTCATATCCAGACTATATATTGTGAAGTCTCTGAGTGGCGTATGATTTAATAAAATGTCCCCAACGATACCTGAAAACAGATTTGGATTCTGATGGCGATGGTTATGTTTGAGAGACTGTGACATGTTTAACCCTCTGGGGTTGTTCGTTTCAGAGTCACACTCGGGGTGTTCGGGTCCAAATGGACCCAAAGGGCGGGATTCATATAAAAAAAAAAAAAAATGATTTGATTTGATTTTGACATGATTTTTTTTTTTTTACTCGTTTTTTATAATATTTTTTCTTTTCTTTTTTGGTGTTTTGAGAAAATTAAAAAAAAAAAAAATGTATAATTCGTATTAATGCAATAATTATGACAAAAGTTCCCCCCATTGAACATAATAGAAAATATATTAAAAAAAAAATATTTTTTTTTTAAAGCTGTATTTCATTTTAGAGTCAAGTCTATGCCTCATGAAAGCAATTTTGAAATGAGATGGATGCCATCTGGTGGACAAACTGAGCATTTTAAAAATGCAAAACACATGTATAATCTGAATTTTTTTTTGGTGTGTTTGTGTATAAAAGTGTGTTTGTGTGTGTGTGTCTGTTTTGCACTCTTGATGTTTTATAGATTCACCCCTTCACTGTTTTGTGCTTTTTTTCAAGATCGTGGCTGATTTGTAGATTGTACGCACAAAAAAAACTCAGTATTTTCACATTTTTGCCAATTTCCCATTCATTTTCCATACCCCAAGTGTGACTATTTTTTTTTTTACAACCACTTAGACTATTCACATCCTGTCCCCAATTTTTTTGGGGTGTTCAAATACCAAATACCAACAAAGTCACCAAATTTCGGACCATTCCGAGGAAGCTGTGATTTAAAAAAAAAAAATGTATTTAAATTCTTCGGGTCCATTTGGGCCGAACAACCCCAGAATGTTAAACAGAAAGCACTATTGGGCAAAAGCTTAAAGTACCTTTGCGCTGGTCATCCATGTCTTTACCGTAATGCACACGGCCGCAGTTCTCCACCAGCAGACTCAGAGTGCGTTTCTCCTACAGAAAACCAAGTAGTCCAGACGTTTATTTCATTAAAAGTACAGTAAGATTGTAAAATACGATTGCAATTTAAAACAACTTTTCTATTGGAATATATTTAAAATTAAATGTATTTCAGTGATGGAAAAACATCTCCAGTCTTCAGAGTCACTTCAGGAATCATTCTAATTATGATGATTTGCTGCTCCAGAAACATTTATTATTATAATCAATGTTGAAAACAGTTCTGCTGATTAATGTTTTTATGGAAACCTTTTTTTTATATTTTGGATACTTTGATGAAATTTTTAACATTTATGTAACATTTTATGCCTTAGGGATGGGCAACGATTAATCGCATCCAAAATAAAAGTTTGTGTTTACATGATATATGTGTATAATTATTTTGTATATATAAATACTAACACACGCATGTATATATTTAAGAAAAATGTGTTCTTAATATATCAAATATTTATATTTATACATAACATTAATTATGTATAAATATATATAGAGTATATACATGTAAATATTTCTTAAATATATACATGCATGTGTGTGTATTTATATATACAAAATAATTATACACACTACACACACACATATTATGTAAACACAAACTTTTATTTTGGATACGATTAATCGCTGCCCATCCCTAAGTATATAGTATAATATATACTATATTATAGAATATAGTATAAGTAAGTATATAGTATAAGTATATACTATATACTTATAGTATATATAGTATACCCTAAGTATATAGTATAATATATACTATATTATATAGTTTTAATACAATTAAAAGACAATATAAAAAAGAGACTCAGTATTGCCTCTTTTTCAAAAACTTAAATAAGATCATACCTTTCCATCAGGAACCGCCAATTCTAAATTCTTGTGGTGAAATATACCAATGAAACTTTGGTTCACAAAAACCTACAGGAGAATAAAAAGAATTAAAGCAGATGCATATTGATGCTCAACAGCACAGCTTGCCTGTTCCCAGCACTAACCATGGCTCTGTCTCGGATGTTGCGTTCTGATTTTAAAGAGCCTCCTGTGGTGATGGTGGTCTCGTAGAGGGTGTATCCATACGCCTGGCCGTTACCGTTATTCACAGGCAGATTCTCCATATTAACAGGGAACTGAGATTTGAAAGGCTTGAGGAGAAAAGGATTTTGAGATTGATTTCTCAGAGTTAGTATTTCTACACTGTAAATTAGACTTCCTACCTTGTGTGTGTATGGCAGAGCGTCCCACAGTGAGAGGTGCTGAAACAAAATCGCCGCCTCATATTCTTCTTTCCAGCGGACACCGGGCATCTCGGGCAGGACTTCCTCTGAAGAGATCCACAGATATACTATTACTCAACACAACAGAACACGTGAGCATATTATTACTAAAATAAAATGCACTTTCTCTGATGAAAAAAGGCCAGATGGGCGGGGGAAAATAATATTAACCATTATAAGACGGTTAGTTCCAATCCTCGATTCTGATTGGTCCACTTCACCCAACGTTTCGCAACACTGCGGTTCCTATGTTGTGTTTATTTGAGCTTTCATGCATATTACACCTTGGAACGTTGTTGCTGTTCACGGTCAGGGACTATTTTTTCTAGCGGAAGGACGGCTTTAGTGATTTTACATCATGAAAGTTGCACTAATACATTTTTTTTTACTTTAACATTTGTATTATGTTGTAACCGTTTTATAAAAGCACTAAGGGACTCAAGGTAAGTGCTGTATCGTGAATAAGTAGTGACTGAAGGGGTCCACTCGCGTCGAGCCTAACAACGCCCTTCAGCCGCTACTTACTTACCTTATTGCTTATGTAATATCTTAGTACACTTTCCATGATCCAATCAAATCATAATGGATAAATCAAGGCTTTAATGCCCCTGTTACGCTTTTTCAGATATTACCTTTCATGTAGTGTGTTTGTGAATGTAAAAGGTCTGTAAAGTTTCAAAGATCAAAGTGCACGACACATGAAGTTATGATACAAATTGACACGGTAAAACTGACACTATTGTTTACTGTTCATATGCAAGTGCTGAGGAAGCTGAAATTCAGATTTGGTAATGGATATTTGGTTTCCAACATCTGATCAATCAGAACAAGGAGAGGCGGGGCTTAGAGAGACTGAAATGCATGTTTTATGAACTTGGATGCTGTAAACCTATTGTACGAGACCAGAATTAGGGAGCTTTAAAAAATAGCATAATGCAACATTTTATTTTGCACTGAATATTCTGTTAGAGGAAGGGATCACAGACTGTTAAAAGTGCTGAGAAGATCTCTGAGAAGATGGTATTTAGGTGTGTAATCTCCTGCTTCTGACAGAGGAGCATCATAATCTGAAAGAAACATAGAAAGGCTTGCGTTATACACAATGCTATATCTTTAAAGCATCTAATAATGAACTATAACCAAAATGGACATTTGAACATACATGTACGTCACTGTGATAAGAACTATCTAAAATGCCATTTTTGGAAATACATTATTTGAAGTATAATTGGATTTTTCAGTGCTTGTGTCCCATTTGATCAAATTAAGAGCCACCATTGGGTGATCAAAATGTTTAGGCTTTAATAAAAAAAAGTGGTTGAAATTTGTTTAAAATAAGTCCCCTTGATCAGTGTGAGCACTGCAAGTTGTTGTTGTAACATCACAATTGTATCAATTGTGGTTAATGGATCTGCCTGAAGTGTAATTATGAGTATAGTGTCTGTCTACTTGCGTACAACGATTTGCAAGTATGTCTAAAAGTGTTAAACAGCCACTGTTTTGCAGCTTTTTCAGTTCTACATGAAATGCTCCTACTCTACGTTTGATAGCGCCACACACTGGCCATATTGTGAAGTACATCATCAGTTCACCCAAAAATGATGTCATTATTTACTCACCCTCATGTTGATCCAAACCTGTATGACATTCTTTCTTCTGTGAAACATAAAAAAACAAGCTATTTTGAGAATTGAATCAGTGTTATGTTTGTCTAAAGTATACAATCTCCAGCGTTCTTCAAAAATCATATGGTTTGAAACAAGATGAGGGTAAGAAAACGAAAAAAACAATTTCATTTTTGGGGTGAACTATCCCTTTAAAGTTGATATAATTGTGCATGACAGGAACACAGACCATAGCTTGTGACCAGAGCTTTGTAAGAAGGGTTGGCCAGCGCTCCATTCATAAAGCCGAAGTTTGTCCCTCCGTGGAACATGTACAGGTTGATGGACATCCCTCGCCTCAGGATCTCTCGCACCACAGCAATCAGGTCTGACATTTATAGAAAGAAATTTCACATCAGCGCTTTGGCCCTTCATAAACCTCATTTTAAATGAACATTTGAGTATAGAAAATACCCCTTAGTTTTTTTTAGATAGATAGATGGATAGATGGATAGATAGATAGATAGATAGATAGATAGATAGATAGATAGATAGATAGATAGATAGATAGATAGATAGATAGATAGATAGATAGATAGATAGATAGATAGATAGATACCCTCTGCAGGAAAACTGTGGTGTAAACCGCCCCATCCGTCACATCTCCCCGTCCAGAGCTCCATCACCAGCACAGGACTGTTGGGCTTCATGCATTTAAAGTCATTTTAAATATTTAATCTAATACTTACATCTACAAAAAGACACTGAAATATCTACCTGGACTGCTTCCAAATATTTGATGTCATCATGATTCATTTTCTGTAGATTCAGAGTTCTTAAAGCTGTGATGGAGGAAAGAATGTGCGACAGTCGGAATTTTTTTTTAAAGAAATCAATACTTTTATTCAGCAACGAGTCATTCAACTGATCAAAACTAAAACTTAAGATTTTTATTTCAAATAAATACTGCTCTTTTCAACTTTCTATCACATTTTCCACAAAAATATTGAGCAGTTTTCACCATTGATAATAACAGAATGTCTAATTGAAGAGAATCGGCACTGGCTGGTTACTTCCGGGTTCTGGACTGGCTGCAGTAACGCGTCTCTGTCCATGCGGGGGCGCTCGCGGTCGAGTGCAGAATGAATGGGAGTCAATGGGGTTTCACACACAGAAATCCACTTTTCTCAGGATGTAATTTTTTGTCAGGTAATTTGAAAGTTGCATTCAAAAGGGAGGGCTAAGATAATACACTCAGCTGAAAATTGCATTTTTAAGTTCACTTATCTGTTCTAAAAATCCGTTCAAAACTGCGATGACGTCACACAATAGCAGAATGCTAGCGTGCTCCGGCCAACAATAGCCTAAACTGTAAGAAATCGAAAGGACATAAGTACTCGTTCATTCGAATTTTGGCCTATAATCTATATTGAACTTGCGGAATCAACAATAAAATCTATTTTAATTTAACGACAAGCAGGTGAAAGAGACACATTTAGCCGTTTAGCCCCATAGACTCCCATTCATTCTGCTCTCGCCCGCGATCACCTCCAGTGGAATTCTAATGGAACTGCAACCAAGATGATGCACAACGGGGCTAATAGGAAGTGCCAAGGCTCTCCGTTAGACGGGCTCTGTTAATAATAAGAAATGTTTCTTCCGCAGCAAATAAACATATTAGAGTGATTTCTGAAGGACGAAATGCTGAAAATTCAGCTTTTCCCAGCCCTGGTGAGCATACGAGACTTAAAGAAATAATCTTACTGACCACAAACTGCATAAATCATGTTGAGCAGGGCAGCTGTGTTCTGTGTGTACCTCCTTTGAGTCCACCATCTCTCAGACCCTCGTGGTCGTCCGATGTCAGGAGAACTTCCCTAATGCCCCTTTCTTGGAGAGCCTGATTGAAATTATATTAAAAAATCTGCCAGTCTGTAAACTTTAATAAGTATCAAGGAAAAGTGTACAATGTTCACTGGTACCTCTTTGATAAATGACATGTAGTTTCCATCTTTTGCGTATGATCCATATTTGTTTTCCACTTGAATGGCAATGATAGGCCCACCTTTCTGGAACTGACAACATTAAACCACCATCAGAGATTGCTGGACGGGGTCGGGGAATGTGTTTGAGAACGTTTTGTGTCCTACCTGGAAAGGCACCACTTTCGGAATGAGCTTGTCGAAGTACTGGTTTACAGCCGCTATGAATCCTGGGTAAGTGGTTCTCAGCAGCATCTCTCTATCACGCAAAAGCCAGCTGTCGAGGGAAGTGGTAAAAATTGTAAAACATTTATCTTTTAGTGTGAAGACCCAGAATGTATCTGTAGTTCTATGCCAAGGAACAACACACTTTAGGTTTGGCTTAGTTAATGCCACACTTAAGGGTCTTTCATTCCCCTCATGACACACATTACCAAAAAGTGTAATGTCAGTTCGATCAAACACTTCCTTTGTATGCTGCCTCACAACTTTAATCACATTTTCTCTGGAATTTGTCGACTTAAAATCTATGCAATAGGAGATAATTTTTTTCCAGAAATCACCTGGGCAAGCCTCCGAGGTCAAGATCCGAGCCGATGTATGGCCCCGGCCGTAATATTACCCAGAGGCCCACCTCGGCAGCCACGTGAAGGAACGCTCTGAATGGGATGGGCAAAAAATAAAAATTAGATACCTAAAAATGTCACACTGAATAAAAAGCTACAATAAATGAGCACATTTATTTATTTAGAAATGGTCATTTTAATAATGAAAGCTTTTAAAAGCATTATTTAAATAAATGATAATAATAATAAAATACTTGTATAATAATATATAAAAATAATAAAAACTTGATAATAAAATAATAATAAAAAGACTTGAATTTTGATTTCTGAAGGACCAAAGAGTAATGGATGCTGAAAATTCAGCTTTTCCCAGCCCTGGTGAGCATACGAGATTTAAAGAAATAATCTTACTGACCACAAACTGCATAAACCGTGAAGGAACGCTCTGAATGGGATGGGCAAAAAATAAAAATTAGATACCTAAAAATGTCACACTGAATAAGTAGCTACAATAAATGAGCACATTTATTTATTTAGAAATTGTTATTTTAATAATGAAAGCTTTTAAAAGCAATATTTAAATAAATAATAATAAAATACTTGTATAATAATATATAAAAATAATAAAAACTTGATAATAAAAGACTTGAATTTCTATCATGCCTTTATTTGAAAAGGTCTCTAAATTTTGCAGTGTTATTGGTCTCATCGTTTAGTTGTGTTGCTATGGAAGAGCTTGGATCTACTTTAATGATGTATTCCCAGTGGTGTGAGGATAATGATACGAAACAAGAACGAGAACAAATTCCCTCCTAACGACAGCACATGACGGTATTGTCAGAGGACCAGCGACAGAAGATCTCTGAGGTGTTTGTCTAACTAAGCAGTTAAATAGAGACGAGATCCTTCCAGGATCAGAATATACAGATCTTATATAAGAGCAAGGGAGGAATTCTTACTCTATATCAAGGCCTCCCTGGAAGCGAAACTCTCCGTGTTCTGGCTGATGGAGAGACCACGGCACATCACTGCAAGATAAACACAGCCTGGTTATTGCACACACTCCTCCGTTCATAGACTGTGATTGCCAACGTCAAACCTACACAGTGAGAGTGTTGAGACCACAGGCTTTCATTTTCAGCATCCGGTCCTCCCAGTAGGCTCTGGGCAGGCGGAAGTAGTGTAAAGAGCCACCCAGAATACGGAACGGCTCTCCTCCCAGACTAAACTGGGAAGAGTTTACTCCAAGACCCTTGGAGCGATTTATCCTGATCTTCCCGGCCGGACCTCTGGACACACAGGAGAAACACATGGAGAAAATAAAGCTTTTTGTTGTTATTTTATTTATTAAATCATTTAACAAACAAACAAAATAGTGAAAGTTGGAACTCACACAGAAGCTAGGCTGATTAATCATTGCCTAGCATTTAACATACACACACATACACAAATTCGGAATTCGTGCAGAAGCACAGTTAAGAAAAGTTAAAAATTAAATCTTCCCATTCACTACATTTTTCCCATTTATGAAAAAATTGTTAACACCCAGCTTATGCTGCGATGAATATACCTAGTGAATTATTATATATATATATTTTATATATATAAAAATATTAAACATTCAAGAAGACTTTTACCATTTTAAATAAAATGTGTCTTACCTGAAGTGTCGGTATAAAATAAAGCACGCGAGACTCAATAACAGAACAACATATCGCCTCTTGTGACTGTTTCTTACACTGAAAACAGCCATGTTTCTCTGAGTTAAGTGCTATGGCAATGCTACAATAAATAAATAAGTGCCCGCCAAGTTCCGGTAAAAGGGAGTGACATTTAAGCCGCAAGTTTCTTGGAAGCAAACAAGAAAGCGTCGCTTGGGTATCTACGGTGTAGTTCCAGTCAGTCAAAGCGGTCTAAAAACTACAAATCCCACAATGTGTCAAATCGCCCCGCGCATGCGCAGCAGCACTGGCCTGATGCTGTTTTGTTGAGAGCTTGAGAACAGAGAGTGAAACTTCAAGGCTTCAGGTGAAGATAAGATTTTAGCCTAAATAGGCACATGAGGTACGATGTGCTGAATTCATATGCATATATGGTTTCTATGGTAATATGTGTCCGATAATACTCGGATAATGTTGTTTTTTGCTGTAGTTAGCTGCTCAGCTAATGATCCACTGGCTAATGCTGCTGGTTTTGTTGTTTACTAGAAATGTGGTCCATCAAACTGCTTCGTGACAGTGTTCTTTGATAATCAAAACTATATCAATCTAATTTGACCTGAAATATTTAGCGGCCTTTTAGACATATGGAGAGTTTTTTTGCACCCAGCTTTAGTTCTAATCTAAATATCTTACCAAAACATGTTTGTTAGTACATATGTGTGACCCTTGTCCTTAATCACGTAGAGTCGTATTAGGGGATGTTTTCAACGTACATGTCATTTCAGACGTGGACCTCTAAATTCCATCTATTAAAATTAAAGAAACTTTATTTTATTGCTTTGTTTTACTATGTTTTTCAGTTTGTTTTCAAAGCTGCTGGATCAAATTTGTAGATTTTACACTCAAATGAAAGCATGAAACATATATGAGACTGATATGAGAGAGTTGTTTTCTCTACAGTTTGCAGACTGTCATGAGATCCGGCCTGGCCCCCGGCTGCCCCTCCTGCAGTTGATGACTCCGCAGCCGGCGTGGAGATGACGGACAGTGTCAGAGCGTTTCTCCGCAATGTTGCGACGGTCGGCACCTAATTTGATTTCTAATAAACGTCATGATTTAATGTCTTGAACGATATCTACATCATAAGTTTGCATTTGGTTCAAAACAGAAAGCTCTTTATATTAAGATCAGCAGTGTTCTGTACTACAACACAGAGCAAATTTCACAACATTACATTCCAAATATAATGAAACATAATAATTTATGTATATTTACTAACAGAAATAGTGAAGCGGTGTGTTTTATCATGAATAAAGCACAGCTGTTGACCAATCAGAATCAAGGATTGGAACTAACCATTTTATAAGCTGTAATAATATCTCACAATATTACTGTGTTCATTATATTTATAATTCATAATTCGATAGATTTTTAACATTATTCACACAAGCTTGCGTCAATCTAAGTGACAGTCTTGTTGTTTCCTTTCAGGGGATCAAGGACTCCATCCTGGGCATTGGAACCATTTCCAAGCTGGACGCTCGGATTCAGCAGAAGCGGGAGGAGCAGAGGAGGCGCAGGACATGCGGGACCCTGGCCAAGAGACGGGCTCAGAGCGAGGAACGAAAGCAGGACAGGTAAATGTGCCATTTCACCCCGTTAAGTCAGTGTACTATACTTCGCATGCGGCTCCATCCTGCACACATGTCTGTACAGCTTTCATACAAAGTACTTAAAGGGTTAGTTCAGCCAAAAATGCAAATTCTGTCAGTATTTACTCTCCCACATGTTGTTCAACCCCGTAAGACCTTCGTTCATCTTCGCAACACAAATTAAGATATTTAAGATATTAAGATCGCTCCTGCATACTAGTCCATAGGCTTCTTGAGGGAATGACTCTTGCTGGCCTCGAAAAGTCATTAAAGGACATCGTTAAAATAGTCCAAGTGACTACAGGGGCTCAATCTTAACTTTATCAAACGACGAAAACAAAAAAAACAACAAAAATGACGACTTTATTTCAACTATTGGTTTATTTCTCCCTCTGCGCGAGTCAGGTTACTAGTTTAATAGCGTAAGCTTCTGTTATTGTACGTCACACGCATCACACACATGACCAGCGTCGGCCAATAGTGAGCCTACGTGTGACGTAGCTTTACGCAATCACACTACGCTAACTGACTACAGGCCCATGGAAAAGGAAGTGAACAGTTGAAATAAAGTCGTTATTTTTGTTGTTTTTTTGCGCACAAAAGTGTTCTCGTCGTTTGATAAAGTTAAAATTGAGCCCCTGTAGTCACTTGGACTATTTTAACGATGTCTTTAATGACTTTTCGAGGCCAGCAAGAGTCATTCCCTCAAGAAGCCTATGGACTAGTATGCAGGAGCGATCTTAATATCTTAAATATCTTAATTTGTGTTGCGAAGATGAACGAAGGTCTTACGGGGTTGGAACAACGTGAGGGTGAGTAAATACTGACAGAATTATCATTTTTGGCTGAACTAACCCTTTAAAGTGATACATCACCTCTGGAAAGATGAGTGTGTATTTAAAATGTGTCATTTATGTAGAAGAAATGTGAAATTATTTTTACATTTGGAGCTTTCTAGACTGAGAAAAGCCAGAAAATGTATTTTTGGCTGATGTGGATGAAAGACAACAACTCCCAGAATGCACTTGCTTCGCTGCCCTAGGAGGCCACGCCTACCGGTTACAGAGCGCAGTCGTTAAACAACAAGTCTAGGCTACTAGTGATGAGTCCGCCCGAAAATGTGTTTGGAGATGGCCCAAAATGTCCGCGATTTGCGTTCTACAGTCGCCGTTCATTCTGTTTCCTGTGGCGAGCGGGACGAGTGAGGGCCGCGGGAGAACGGCGTGATTAGCATGGTAATTTGAAAATACTGCAGGTTTCATACTAATACAAAGCTTAATGCTAAATCCTGAAGTATCTCTTTAACCGTGGATGAGCGCAGATGGATGCGTTTGACACATGAACAGCTTTAAACTAGAAACAAGAATTCTGCCAAAGTTTAGAATAAGAACCAAAACAATTGAATAATATCCTGCTTTGTTACCGTTGTTTCGCTTTCTCCGACTATATCACAACTGGACATATCGCCACTCGTGGTGGACTCAACATTTACTCTGTTGTACACGGATGATAATGATGTTATGGGCCGTTTCAGAACGTGGGCGGCTGTTTCCTGATAAAATGTTTCTTCAATTTTTCCTTCAACAGTGAACCGAAACTAGCAAGTCGTATTTTCCAGTGCTGTGCCTGGAACGGAGGCGTGTTTTGGGTACGTTTCTATGTCTCTTGTTGGTCAGCTATGTTATTATTCACTATTATATTAATAAAAATCGAACTTCTTTGATCTCACAGCTAAGTCTGTTCCTGTTTTATCGAGTGTTTATCCCACTGCTCCAGTCCATCACTGCTAGAATCATAGGTACACGCCGCTTCGATAGACGTTTCATGCCATATTCTCCAGATATTCCTCTGTTTTATGCTTCTCCTACTGTTGTGTGTTCAGGTGACCCCTCTCTGCACGGGAACGTGTGGTCCTGGCTGGAGTTCATTCTGACTTCTGTATTCAGTGCGCTCTGGGTTCTGCCTCTCTTTGTGCTGAGCAAGATAGTCAACTCCATTTGGTTCCAGGTGAGACTATCTTTCACACATGGTTTTGATCCTGTATGGTGTAGAAATCAGAATTATTATAATCAAGCGGTTTATGAGAGAAAAACAACAATCTGGTGTGTTGAGACGAGCTATTCTCTGCCTACCAGTGGACACCACTGGTATATATATGAAGATATTAATATAACAAAATATTTATATTTCAAATAAATGCTGTTTACAGAATTATGTAAAAAAAAAAAAAAAAAAAAAAGTACCACTTTTTACACAAAATTATTTTAAGAGACTTCTTTCAAGAACATTACAAAAACTTTTGTAAATCTTTTTTACGGTACCAGTGTATGTATATATATATATATACTGTATCTATATGAAGAGTTCAGATGCAAAAGCCTCTAAATGCCATTTGAAATTTTCTTCTAAAATGACAATTTTTTTCAAGCTTGTATATTTAAGTTCAGTAATTTCACTTAAATGACAATTAATAGGTAATCTTCATTGCCATTTAAGTGAAATTACTGAACTTAAATATACAAGCTTGATAAAAATGATCATTTTAGAAAAAAATTTCAAATGGCACTTAGAGGCTTTTGCATCTGAACTCTTCATATAGATACAGTATATATATATATATACATACACTGGTACCGTAAAAAAGATTTACAAAAGTTTTTGTAATGTTCTTGAAAGAAGTCTCTTAAAATAATTTTGTGTAAAAAGTGGTACTTTTTTCTTTCTTTTTTTTTTTTTTTTACATAATTCTGTAAACAGCATTTATTTGAAATATAAATATTTTGTTATATTAATATAAATGTAGATAGATAGATGGATTATGGAAGTGTATTGCATTCACTTACGGAAAAAAGTACTGTTTTTCTGAATTATCTCAGAATTACGAGAGAATTTTCCATGAAAAATGATCTCGTAATTCTGAGATAATTAACTCGTTAATTCAGAAAATAGAGTAGATTTTGTTTCCTCAAGTGAATGCAATACGCTTCCATAATGAATAGATATAATAGTAATTATTAAATTTGACAGAATCAATGCACATTTATAAATCTATAGGCCTGGCTGTATATATCTGTTTTATAATGTTTCAAATGTTGTGCAGGACATTGCTGATCTGGCGTTTGAAGTGTCTGGACGTAAAGCTCAGCCTTTTCCCAGCGTCAGTAAGATCATTGCAGACATGCTCTTCAATCTTCTGCTCCAGGCCCTCTTCCTCATTCAGGTCCGTGATCATGTGATTTCTCTCTCTGCCTTGTTCAAACTCGCCTCCTGCGCTTGTTGATTAAAACTACTTTTTTTAGGGATGGATTGTGAGTCTCTTCCCCATTGATGCGATTGGTCAGCTGGTCAGTCTCCTGCACATGTCTCTGCTCTACTCGCTTTACTGCTTTGAATATCGCTGGTTTAATCACGGTAAGCTCTCGCTCAGCTAATCCATTGTACATTTTGGTCTGAACGTTTCCTGATTGAAAAGGTTTTTGTGTCTCTTCTGAAGGGATTGAAATGCACCAAAGGCTGTCAAACATTGAGAGGAACTGGCCGTATTATTTTGGCTTTGGTTTGCCCATGGCTCTCCTGACGGCGCTGCCCTCCTCATACATCATCAGGTGCAATCCCAGTCTATCCACTCATTCTGACCAGCTTTTGTTCTGATTAATATTAATCTGCTGGTGGGGTCCTCATTTATCTTCAATTCGCTTTTATTTTATTTAGGGCTGTCAAACATCCAAAATAAAAGGGCATCCAAAATAAAAGTTTGTGTTTACATAATATATATGGGTGCACTGTGTATAATTATTTTGTATATATAAATACACAAATATGCATGTATATTTAAGAAAAAAGTATTATTTATATATAAATCTATATACATGAAAATATTTCTTAAATATATACAAGCATGTGTGTGTATTTATATTTATATATATATATAAAATAATTATACACAGTGCACCCATATATATTATGTAAACACAAACTTTTATTTTGGATGCGATTAATCGTTTGACAGCCCTAATTTTATTTAATTTAATTTATTTTTCAAGCACTGCCATTCTATGGGTCTGTTTACACGACACTGGTTTCAACTAAAAACTGAACTTTTTATGCAATTTTTTTTTTTTTTAATTAATTTTTTTTTAGCCATTGATTTACAAGACGACTGTTTTCGAGGCCTGAACACACAAACTTTTGAAAATGGGTTTCAAACGGCATGTTTTGAAAGTGATACTGTTATTGTCAAAAATGTGAATTTGTGACGGTGACGTCATGCATATTACGCGTTCAGTCTATAGGCGTATAGTTTTTCCTTTACAAAGTGACATCGCCAACTAGTGGCCATTTTGCAGAATTCAGCGCTTTAGTCATTTTTGCAGGTCTGTGTAAACGGGTATAGCTTGACAGTGTTGTCTAAAAAACGTTTCTGCTTTTTGTTTTAGTTATTGTGTGAACAAACCCTGTGTGATGAATGTCTGAAGTTTTTTTATTATTATTGTATTTCTGAGACATCCTAAAAATGTTTAGCATGGATAATGTATAATTTCTGAATCTTTCCTCCAGCGGCTGTCTGTTCTCCATTCTCTTCCCGCTTTTCATCATCAGTGCTAATGAAGCGAAAACCCCAGTCAAACTCTAGTAAGTATTTTAATTTTTTGATTTTGTTTCAAATATTATTTAGCTAATTTAAAGTTTTACATCATTGTTTTCTCCAACGTCGCAGCCACTTCCAGCTCCGCCTGTTTTCCCTGGTCGTTCTCATCAGTAACAAACTCTTCCACAAGACGGTTCACATGCAGAGCTCCATCACGACCTCTACGTCCACAGAGAAGCTGCCCTCGCCGCACGTGTCCCCAGCGCGCCCGCGACCTCCGCCCCCCCAGTGACCTCTTTCAGGAGTCCTAACTTTGGGTTGAGCGAGTCAGGCGATTAGGTGTGTGTGTCGATGTTCTTGTGTGGGATGAATCGGACTGGTTAGTATTGTAATCGCCCGGCGTTCAAGACTGGATTCACACGAGGTCATGATTGTCTGCGTGATTTGTTTTGTTTTTTTGGACTATTTTTGTACCCATGACGTGCCATTTGGGTGATTTGTAGAGACAGCACAAAGACCTCAGCATGAACCCTCTTCTTTTAGGCCCTCTAGTTTCTATCTCGACTAATTTTATCTATTTATGGCCTTCTTTTTAATTTGATGTAATGACTTCTTCTGCCTTGTGTGGCCCAGACAAATGATAACGTGTTTATCGGTTAACACTACGCTCTGTGACACGCTTTAGGGCTTCCCCAAGTGGTTTATTGTTCTGCACTGAACACTGAACTCGACTGCTGATCAAATTGAAAGGCATATTTTAAAGCTCATTACTTTATTGACTAGACATCATCTTAAAGGAATAGTTCAGCCAAAAATGAAAATTCTGCTATCTGTGGAACACATAAATAGAGATTTTGCAGAATGTTCATGCTGCTCAAGTCTTTAGTTGTATTAAAAAGAGCCGTGTACACGTTTTGTGTTCCACAGAAGAATGACATGAGAGTGAGAGAATTTAGTTTTTTGGGTTGAAATATTCTACTAATGTAAAACTCAAAAGGGAGCTGCTTTTTATTTCGCACCTTTTAAATGTGTTTTTATTTGGGGAACACCATGTCAACATGATCCAGTGTCATCTGTTATGGTTCTGGGATGATTTTCAACAGTATGCACAAGTTTTATTCCTCTGCACTGCCAAACTGTGTGACACGCGTGAGTGAAACTGTTCTTTAAATGATCACGGATCCGATGAACGCTGGCAGGTCGAGTGGATATCTCCTGCGGTGTGTGTTCCTGAAACCTGCTTTCCAACACCTGAAACTGAAGCACATGCTAAACGCCCATTTTGATGTCCTTGTATCAGTGGGGAGGGAGGGTGGTGTGTATTTTAAAAAGGGTTGTAATTATTGTCAGGAGTCCATAGTGTTACACCTACAGACAGATATTTGTGAGTGACATTTTGTAAAAGTATTACATTTTATTTCAATAAATTTGGACTGTGTACAGTATTTGTTTAGAGTGGACTTTATGTTCATGCATTTGGCAGATGTTCCTCACTTATACTTTTCAAATTGAACCCACAACTTCAATACAGTAATGTTTTATTGTACAGTGTCAAATCGATTAATCACATCTAGGATTCTAATCATGAATTGCATAGTCAAGTTGAATCTAATCTCATGTATACATCAGCCGACTCAAGTCACTTTTTATTGCAAGACAACTATCCTAAATAAACACTTTGCTTTAGAATTATGCAAAGCTTCGTAAAAATGCGTGTTTCCCTTCTTGACATTATGAACGTGTACGTGAAATGTTATTAGTAATTAAAATAACATAAACATGTTATGATACTTGATCCTTGACATGAAAGTTGAAGTTTTGAAGTGCAGCGTGGACTCCACAGTGCTGACTGTCTCTCCCATTAGGACACGTCATATCTGGAGCGCCATGCGGAACTCGTCTTCCTGACACACTTGAATGACATCTCGAAGACCAATCAGCGGAAGCCGTTCTTGTGGAATTGCGACGCTCAGCCAATTAGCGCCCTCTCTACGTGGATGGGCGGGACTCGAACGCAGAGAGGGTTGTGTGTGAGAGTGTAGAAAGGCTGGAGTGAGTGAACCGCCGATGAATAAGACTGGTAATTCTGCAAATTTATACATTTTAAGCTCATTTATCGCAACTATACGGGTTTTGGTGTCATTATACTTACTCATTTGCATTAAATAATACATTTACATATGATAAAATAGCTTGTGAAAGTGTGACACAGGTGTGATATTAGCTAGCAGCTAATGGGCTAATGAAGACTTAGTTTAATAGTTTATTTTCACGAATAGTTTGTCAGGAAAACACCGTGTTAATGTGCATGTTGATGCTCCCAGAATTGATTTATCTGCCTGTACGTATGAGTTTAAGTATTAGTTGTTATTTTGTATAGGAATTGTGCACATACTGACTCTTCCTGATTTCACAGAGATGATAAAATGTGCAGATTGAGCGATTTGTTCAACTGCTTTACCCCTAAAATTCGTATTTGACGCTTAAAGGATTTAGTAAAACCTCTTTCATCAGGTAAAAAAAAATAAATAAATGGCAGAATTGCATAATAGTTTTTAGATAAAGGAGTCCTATCCTACACTGGTCTCGTATTCCCCCCTGAAGTGTTTTATTAATTTCCAATTCAACATGCAGTTGTTGTCTGTTTTGTCAGGTATCAAGAGTTAGTCCTGCCTCCTGTGTGTTAAGATGACCAAGATGGGCTTCCTGCGACTGTCCTATGAGAAACAGGACACCCTGCTGAAGCTGCTCATCCTGTCCATGGCGGCCGTCCTGTGTGAGTGTCCTTTATATCAGAACTCCTAACTAGATGCAAACTGTCCTCTGATTCGTGTCATTTTCTTCCAGCGTTCTCCACCAGATTGTTTTCCGTGTTGCGGTTCGAGAGCGTCATCCATGAGTTCGATCCGTAAGTACAGCTTTCGGGTCGTCATTTTAACAGCATCCCTAGAACCTGTTTCACTGAGTTTCCTGTTTGTTTAATGACAGGTATTTCAATTACCGGACCACTCGCTTCTTGACAGAAGAGGGTTTTTACAAATTCCATAACTGGTTTGATGATCGGGCTTGGTATCCACTCGGGAGGATTATAGGAGGCACCATCTATCCCGGTACGGCTGAAGGACACTCATTTCTAAATTTATAGCAACATTACAAAAGGTTATTTGTGTTGCCCTTCAATTGTTGTCTCAAGTACCAAATCTCAGAATGCTTCAGTCATGCTGCAACAATGTCATTTTATTTATTTCCAATAGAGAGGAATTCTTGTTGGCAGTGCTGATGTCATTTCCTTGACGTTTACTTGTTTACCACTTTATATAACCGATTGCTTTAAAGAAAGCAGCTTTGCAGTATTGAACATGAAAAAAATAATGTCAGTGTTGCTTTCAATTAGAATTACAACTTCGATTTCTACTATAAAGAAGCTCTCCAGTTTATTTGAAATGACGGCACACCAGTTTGTTCATAGTAGTATATCTGCCATTTGAACTTTAATGTGTAACTTGAGTACTATCATTAATTTGATTGACTTGATTGGACTTTTTTTGGCTAATGAACATCAAAACTGGCCGACATCTCATAAACTTGAACCATTTTTAGGAACCAGCATCATAGCAGCAGACTAAAACCGCTTTAATCTCTGTAGCTTCTCTATAGCATCCACCCTGCCATTTTGTTGGTGACTTTTGCATCTATTTAATACCCATCGCAGTATACAATACAGCTCCTTTTGCCAAATTAAATATTATGTGTTTCTTCTTTTTTTGTCTACAGGGTTGATGATCACATCTGCGGCTCTATATCACGTGCTGCACTTCTTCCACATCACAATCGACATCCGTAATGTGTGTGTGTTCCTGGCCCCTCTCTTCTCCTCCTTCACCGCTATCGTCACCTACCACTTCACCAAAGAGCTGAAGGTGAGGCGCCAATCAAACACTCATCCGTGGGACCGGCTCATCATTTATCTATCTAAGTAAATTAACATGGCGGGCGACGAGCATAAAGAAATGCTGATAATAATGTTTGAACTGCTTTTTATAGAAAATTCACTAAAAAAAGGTTTGTGTTCGGCCTGCTGCACCATGACTGTGGTGGTTATGCTTTTTTTTTGTCAGCTCACTTTATTATTTGGTATCGTTTCGTTTGTCAGTGTGTGTGTGCGTTTGTCCTTAGGGTTTCCCCACACAACAGGATTCTGATCGTAAATACTCAACATGTTATTTGAGATCGATGTGGCCTCTTAACACACCTCAGGAAAATCTGGCCTAATAAACTGTAGAACCATCAAGATAATCGGGACTTTACCTGAGATTGTCGGATGGGTAGAGTTGGGCCCAAAACTTTCCATATTATCAACTAACGGCTCAATCTGATTGTAGTAACGCTGTGTTTCAGGATGCGGGCGCAGGGCTTCTGGCGGCCGCCATGATCGCAGTCGTCCCAGGATACATCTCTCGTTCTGTGGCAGGATCTTATGACAATGAAGGTACAGTCGTTTCAGAGGTGTTGTGTTATAATGTTATGTGTTTAAAAAGTAGTCATCAAGGAGGTGGATTTCCACAAAAATATTTCAACATTTGATAATAATAAATGTTTCTATCTCCAAATCAAAAAGGATCATGTGACACAGAAGACTGACAGAAAACACAGAATCTGAAATTCAGCTTTGGATCTCAGGAATAAGTTGCATTTTAAAATAGAGAATTGACAATGATTTAATTATTTAAAAATAAAATCACAAGTATTACTGTTTTGGTGAGCATTAGAAACTACGTACAGACGCCAAACCTTCAAAGTGTGAAAGTGTTTTTTTATTTTTAGTATACACAAAACATTTCTTAAAAAAAAAAATATATATATATATATATATATTAGTGCTGTCAAACGATTAGAATATTTAATCGCGATTAATCGCATTAATGTCGTAGTTAACTCGCGATTAATAATTAATTTTTATCTATTCTAAATGTCTTGTCAACATGGAAAAGTGGATTGGCTTTTTTAGTGCAAATGTTTTTTTTAGTATTATTATTGATTAACTAAATTAAATATATATAATATGTGTATATTGAAAAAATATATATAAAATGTAATTTTGTTTCCTTTTTGATATAAAGGAATCGCCATTTTCTGCATGCTGCTGACGTACTACATGTGGATCAAAGCGGTGAAGACGGGCTCCATTTATTGGTCGTCCATGTGTGCGTTGGCTTATTTTTACATGGTGAGCCAAATTTCAGACCCACTGTCGCTTGAATTGGGGTTGTTTTAGAGCAGATGATGTAATGTATGTTTTCAGTTCAATCATTATTTTATTTAAATACACCAAACAAGTGATTTCATTAACAGCCACTTTGTGTGTTGTCATCATCAGGTGTCGTCGTGGGGTGGGTACGTGTTTCTGATCAACCTGATCCCGCTGCACGTGCTGGTGCTGATGCTGACCGGCCGCTTCTCTCATCGCATCTATGTGGCGTACTGCACCGTCTACTGCCTCGGCACCGTCCTCTCCATGCAGATCTCCTTTGTGGGATTCCAGGTGAGGAGCTGAATATCAGCTACTAAACATTAGTATTATGGAAGCGTATTGCATTCACTTGAGGGAAAAAAAATCACTGTTTTTCTGAATTAACGAGTTAATTATTTCACAATTATTATATAATTTTTCATGAAAAAAAGTTTTTGCTCTTTTTTTCTGAATTAATGACTTAATTATATTTATTTATTTATTATATTTATATTAACTTGTTAATTCAGAAAAACAGAGCAAAAACTTTTTTTTTTTCATGAAAAAATATTATAATTTTGAGAATTAACTCGTGAGTAGATTTACGCCTCCATTCATTATAGACGAGTAATGTCTGGTGCTCTTCTCGTAGCCTGTGCTGTCGTCTGAACACATGGCTGCGTTCGGAGTGTTTGGCCTGTGTCAGATCCACGCTTTTGTGGATTACCTGCGGAGTAAGCTGAACACGCAGCAGTTTGAGGTGTTGTTCAAGAGTGTCATTTCGCTGGTGGGAATCATCCTGCTCTCTGCAGGCGGTGTGCTCATGCTCACAGGTGATTCAAGAAAATAATTACATTTCTGAATTTAATAATACTTAAATGTTTTTTTGGGGTCATTTAAATAGTTTGTTTTTGTGTTTGCTTATGTCAGGGACAATCTCACCTTGGACTGGCCGTTTCTACTCTCTGCTGGATCCTTCATACGCCAAGAACAACATCCCCATCATCGCCTCTGTGTCGGAGCACCAGCCCACCACCTGGTCCTCGTACTACTTTGACCTGCAGCTTCTGGTCTTCATGTTTCCAGGTACAGCACCTTCCTGCAGACTTTCTCTTTTAAATCCCTAACTTTTTGCATATAGATTACTACGGAGCCCTAAAGGGATGAGGTGAAGATGGGATGAATAATTATTTGGCAATGCTTTTGCGTCCCCTGAGAATCTTTGTGTTCACTAGCAAAGAACGTTTCTCTCTAATCTGCTCCGTAGATTAGAGATCACGTTTTATTTTTTATTTCGAACATGTAATTTACTAGAAGTTGCTAATTTAATCTAAATTTCTGCAGTCTATTTAAAGTGTTTAATTAATCATGTCTTGTTTCTCCAGTTGGCCTTTATTACTGCTTTAACAACCTCTCTGATGCCACAATTTTCATCATCATGTACGGCGTCACCAGCATGTACTTCTCCGCTGTCATGGTAGGACCCTTTTACTTTATTAGGTTTGAAGTTGGTTTAGTATTTCTCTCTTCACAGTGGAAGCTGATGTGTTCTGCTCAGGTACGTCTCATGTTGGTCCTGGCCCCCGTCATGTGCATCCTGTCTGGCATCGGCGTGTCTCAGGTCCTCACCACCTACATGAAAAACCTCGATGTCAGCCGACCGGACAAGAAATCCAAGAAGCAGCAGGACTCCACCTACCCAATCAAGAATGAGGTTCGGTCAACGCTCTGTTTATCCCTAAAACCGTATTCTGGACAAATGTGGACAAAATAGTTTTGATTTATTTTTAAAAATATTTCCCTTGATCTGAGTGGTACAAGACTTGGCTACTTTTCCTAAGTTTGCCTCCTGAACACACACAATTTTTTTTTTTGTCAATTCTACAATGTTAACTAGGTGAAAAAAAAAAAATAAAACTCAAAAATGGGCACCCATAGAAATGAATGGGAAAAAGTGTAATTTAGACACCAGATGACAGCAAAGTCACTTCATCTTTAGGTTTTAGCTCTAAGAACTTATTGGAATGATATTTTAATGTAGTTAAAAAGTAAAACATAAAAATAAGCATAATTTGCATAGAAAATATAGTACTTTTTGAAGTAAATAAATTCAAAAATGCCCCCAAAATAAAAAAAAAACACCATAAATGCATAGACAAAACTTTATCGAAGACAGTGATATAACATTAGGATCACACCTGAGTCCTCTGTGCCCACATTTGTCCACAATTACAGGATTAAGGGCTATAAAGAGAATATGGTTTGAGGGTTAATCTTTGTATCATTGGTTCACTCTGCTCTGATTGGTCCGTAGGTGGCGAGTGGCATGATTCTGGTCATGGCGTTCTTCCTCATCACATACACTTTCCACTCCACCTGGGTGACCAGCGAGGCGTACTCCTCCCCGTCCATCGTGCTCTCCGCTCGCGGGGGTGACGGCAGTCGCATCATCTTCGATGACTTCCGAGAGGCTTATTACTGGCTCAGACACAACACACCGGAGGTTGATCCATCAATCCATCAACCCATTGGCCATCATAAACTTCCTGCTTCTTTTAAATCCGAACAGTTTTGCTAATCTCACATTGCTTTTGTTTGTGTACAGGATGCTAAAGTCATGTCGTGGTGGGATTATGGGTATCAAATAACAGCGATGGCCAATCGAACGATTCTAGTCGACAACAACACTTGGAATAACACTCACATCTCCAGAGTTGGTCAGGTGATTGAAGGCGTACTTCAGGATTTTGTATTAGTAGGGGAAGCTGTATTTTCAAATTACTGTGCTTATCCCCCTGACACGAGAGATTTATGTACTTTTTGTCTGGAAAAAATGATGTGAGATTATGTTGTGGATTAAGTATAATTAAGGCATTTTTAATAAATATCTTTGCAGGCTATGGCCTCCACAGAGGAGAAAGCCTATGAGATCATGAGAGAACTGGATGTTAGCTACGTCCTGGTGATCTTTGGTGGATTGACGGGATATTCATCTGATGGTACGGTCTTGGATTGTTCTTGTCCTTAATGTTTGAGTTGTAATATCTGGATTGGATGAAACCTGAATAACTTGAGTTTACATGAACTTCTTTTAGACATCAATAAGTTCCTGTGGATGGTCCGTATCGGGGGCAGCACAGACACGGGGAAGCACATAAAGGAGCACGACTACTACACTCCCACCGGAGAGTTTCGTGTGGACCGCGAAGGGTCGCCCGTCCTGCTCAACTGCCTCATGTACAAGATGTGCTACTATCGCTTCGGCCAGGTCTACACTGAAGCCAGTGAGTATCTACTCCTTCAGCTATCTACAATTCATGCGTTTATCCCTCTGATGGGCTTCAAAAAAGTCACAATTTAGATTTACAATAAAACAATAAGATTTAATTTTGTAACAGAATATTTTTTTTTTTAACAAATATAATTTTGCTCTGTTTATTAATGTTTTTACTCAACATTTGTGTAGTTTTTGGAGGATTTATGATTTTTTATTTATTTATTTCTATAAATAAATAAATGAATAAATATTTATTTAAATAGGATTTTTACAAAAAAAAAAACACCATTTTATGTTAAATAAACTTTATAAAAGACCCAGATTTCTAACTTTCATTCCTTGGGATACCATGGATAATTTTACAAGGTTGAATGTAAGATTTTTTGGAAAATACAGGTTAAAATTTGTAAAGTCACTTTAACCACTAGATGGCTATAGAGCTCCACTAGGCCTATATACTATTTGAATTACTGAAACATAGTTTCTAAAGTTGGATTCAGTTGGATTCATATCTAAATATTATAAAATCACAATTATAACAAAAATAAAATACTTTTTTTCAAAGTTTAGCATTTGTTTTTGTAAAAAAAAAAAAGTAAATTGGGAAGAAAATCGAACAACTAGGAACAATAGTTTGGAACAATAGAGCAATAGTTGATAAATTTCTTTTATCTTTTTTATAGCCTTACAAATGTATTCCTGTGTGTGTGTGTGTGCACATTTTCAATGTGTTATCAATTTATTTTTGCGGTGGTTCTGCATTTTAAAGTATTTTATTTTACAAATGTTAAGAGAACAGCTTTTATAGTCTGTATGTATTCCTGTATATTGTATTCCTCTATATGTGTGTGTTTGTGTGTGTGCACGTGTGTGAGCATGATCATTTTGGATTGTGGAAGTTTTTTGCATTTTTGGAAGTGTGCCACTTGATTTCTGTCATTTCTGTGTGTGTTCTGCGTTATTTCTGATTTTGATGATGAATTTTGTCTATTTTGAGTCCAATGATAAATAAATATTTATTTATTTATTTATAGATATTTAAAAGATATCATAAATCCTCCAAAAACTGCACACATGTTGAGTAAAAACATTAATAAACAGTAAAATAATATTTGTAAAAAAAAAAAAAAAAAACTATTCTGTTACAAAATTAAATGTTATTTTTTGACCCCCGAAGACCACGAGTGTGACTATTTTTGTCACGCCTACATAAAAACAGATAACATTCTAATTTTTTATTCTAATAAACATTTTAATTTTTTTTGTAGATCTAGAAAGTGTTGAGAGCCGTAGAAAGTTTCGTACCATTTGGAAAAAGAGAACCTTTTTTTTTTTTTAATTCAAGCAAAAGTCATTTGGGGTCCAGTAGACCCCGAAGACCATCAGAGGGTTAATTCAAGTTTTGGACGACTAGAACTGTTTGCCTTTCGTTTCAGAGCGTCCTCCTGGTTACGACAGAGTTCGTAACGCTGAGATTGGCAACAAGGACTTCGAGCTGGATGTGCTGGAGGAAGCGTACACTACAGAGCACTGGCTCGTCAGGATATACAAGGTAGACTTGAACTCACCTGTGCATCTTTAACTGTTGTCCTTCCAAACCATCCTAACTTCCAATGATGATCTCCTGCTTTGCTTCCATAGGTCAAAGACCTTGACAACCGTGGGCTCTCAAGAACGTAAAACCCAGAAACTCACCCCCCCCCCCCCCCCCTCTCTCGAACACACAGCACTGAACGTCTGCGGCCCCCAGTCCCATGATCCCAGGAGAAAGCCTGAAAACTTTTTTATACTTTTGTTGTAATTGCTGAAAGAGATTTTCTTTTCATACCTTTTTTTTTTTCTTGGTTTGTTTTTTAAAAATGATCTGGTTTTGTCTGTACTCGGGGGCAGAAAGCTGTCAAATGTTCACCTGTAAAGGTGAGGGATAAATGTTTAAGAATGTTCAGAAGTCATTTCTGCAATCAACTGGCCAGATAACTGTTTGATTTGTCTTTAAATGGGTTAATAAAGGAGTGACTGGGATACAATTGTTCAGTGTCTTTTTTTTTTTTTTTTACAAATAAAATCACATGCATTTCCAAGTTTGCGTCAAGACCAGGATCACTGAGCTCTAGACCCAATCAATATCACACCCCCAATATCCTCAGACCAAGATTTGTTGGTCCGAGAACCAAGCAGTCCCTTTTAATGCATTGAAATAGAACATTATAATAATTAAAATGCATATTACACTGAGTTTCCTTGGTTTACTGGGAAAATTCAAAAACATCGATCATTCACACACGATATAAGGGAGAAATGATTTTAGTAGCTTATGTGCACGCCCCCTACGGGTCATTCATGATGAAACCACATGTGGGCTGGCCTTGCTGTGGCATCATTGTGCGCATGCGCACATTGCCAAATGTTTTTACACTCCACAGTGAGCGGCGTGTGTCAGTGTTAAGGTGATTGGAGTGTATTTTCCCGATTAAAGAACAGTCTGACGACAATTGCAATGTGGCGCAGGTTGTTCGCCTCCGTCCCTGCTCTCAGAGCTCCTAAAGCGGCCTGTCGGAGTTTTAAAAGCAGCAGCAGGAGCGCTGAGAAGGACTTTACTAAAGGTGAGTTGAACCACTCAATATACTTCATGTATTTATACCAGTATGGCAGACGTTTAACACTGCAGAGCGAAATTTAAGCAGTTACAAGAATCACGCGTGCCCTCCATACATTCGTTTTTTTAACCCTAGTATGGGAAAGGTTAGCTTAGCTTATTAATATTCATTTGTTCATGAACTGGCGTTGCTTGATTTACTTCATCGGAGCGTAATCAAATTAATATTCATGAGCCAAGCCTGGCTCGCCGTAGTCATTCGTCCGTTGATTGGCCAACTGTCCAACTACTCTTTCCTCTCAGCAAATCAGTGAGGGCGGACGTAAGGGAGCCTAATTAATATTCATTTTTCTGGCGTAGGATTTGTAAATTCGCCTCCTGCATAAAAATAGTATTCAGGCTAATACAAAACACTGATCAAAATGATAAATAATAAAACAATAATAATTTAAATTCTCTCTTACCATATTTAATGACTAAATAATCCTAGTCAGTTTGTTTGTATATTTCTCTCTCTTGGATTTTTGGGATAGAAGATAATTATTACCAAATAACATAAGGTTTTTTTCCCTACATGTTGGAAGGAATGAATGAATTTTACAAACACGGTATGGTTTCTGGCCTGGTTGGTAATGATGTAACGTCTGTCTCCGGTCAATAAAACATATACTCAGAAAACGTTTAGGTTATTATCTGTCATATGTAACCCGTTGCAGACCTGGAGGCTCAGTTCCGGGCCTTCCGGGAGAAAGCGGCCGCGGCGATGCCCGGCAGTGACTGGAGCCCGGTGGAGCTGACCCCGGGCCTGCCGCCTGAGAGGGCCGATGTGGTGATTATAGGAGGGGGGGTCGTGGGATGGTCCATCGCATACTGGCTGAAGAAGAAGAGTGCGAGGGACAGTGTGAGAGTGCTGGTGGTGGAGAAAGACCCTACGGTGAGTAAATCCAAGGGCACTTAGGCAGTAGCACCTCATTGCAGTACACGAGATCCAGGGGGCGGAGTTGGATCCAGATCTAAGGGGTGGAGATGGGTAGGATTAGGGGTGGGGTTAGGGATCAGGGGGTGGAGATGGGTAGGATTAGGGGTGGGGTTAGGGATCAGGGGGCGAGATGGGTAGGATTAGGGGTGGGGTTAGGGATCAGGGGGCGAGATGGGTAGGATTAGGGGTGGGGTTAGGGATCAGGGGGCGAGATGGGTAGGATTAGGGTGGGGTTAGGGATCAGGGGCGGAGATGGGTAGGATTAGGGGTGGGGTTAGGGATCAGGGGGCGGAGATGGGTAGGATTAGGGGTGGGGTTAGGGATCAGGGGTGGAGATGGGTAGGATTAGGGGTGGGGTTAGGGATCAGGGGGTGGAGATGGGTAGGATTAGGGGTGGGGTTAGGGATCAGGGGGTGAGATGGGTAGGATTAGGGGTGGGGTTAGGGATCAGGGGCGGAGATGGGTAGGATTAGGTGTGGGGTTAGGGATCAGGGGTGGAGATGGGTAGGATTAGGGGTGGGGTTAGGGATCAGGGGGCGGAGATGGGTAGGATTAGGGGTGGGGTTAGGGATCAGGGGGCGAGATGGGTAGGATTAGGGGTGGGGTTAGGGATCAGGGGGCGGAGATGGGTAGGATTAGGGGTGGGGTTAGGGATCAGGGGGCGAGATGGGTAGGATTAGGGGTGGGGTTAGGGATCAGGGGGCGGAGATGGGTAGGATTAGGGGTGGGGTTAGGGATCAGGGGGCGAGATGGGTAGGATTAGGGGTGGGGTTAGGGATCAGGGGGCGGAGATGGGTAGGATTAGGGGTGGGGTTAGGGATCAGGGGGCGAGATGGGTAGGATTAGGGGTGGGGTTAGGGATCAGGGGGCGAGATGGGTAGGATTAGGGGTGGGGTTAGGGATCAGGGGCGGAGATGGGTAGGATTAGGTGTGGGGTTAGGGATCAGGGGGCGGAGATGGGTAGGATTAGGGGTGGGGTTAGGGATCAGGGGGCGAGATGGGTGGGATTAGGGGTGGGGTTAGGGATCAGGGGGCGAGATGGGTAGGATTAGGGGTGGGGTTAGGGATCAGGGGGCGAGATGGGTAGGATTAGGGGTGGGGTTAGGGATCAGGGGGCGGAGATGGGTAGGATTAGGGGTGGGGTTAGGGATCAAATCCCATGTGATGCAATTAATGTGTCAGGGGAATGCACCATTTCAATTCTGAATATGATCAAGCAATTCTATTGGATCCAGGATCAGCAGAGCCAATCAGCTTGTGCCGTCTGGTAATATCTGTGTGTGTGACTCTTCCTGCAGTATTCGCAGGCGTCCACTGTGCTGTCATGCGGGGGCATCCGGCAGCAGTTCTCCCTGAAAGAAAACATCCAGCTGTCAATGACCTCGGCGGATTTCTTGAAGAACATTAATGTAAAAGCACTCTTCCTGAAACACTGTTCTTGTTACAAATTGTTATATTAGTATTTCCGGAGACTATTTAGTTGTAAATGTTTCTACATGTGTTGGATAATTTGTGCTGGTTTGTTTGTTCTGTTGAAACGCCACAGGATCATCTCTGGCTGGCGAACGAAGACCCCGTGGATCTGCAGTTCAATCATTCAGGATATCTCTTTCTGGCCAGTGAGAAATCGGCTCATATCATGGAGGAAAACTACCGCACTCAAAGGTGACGCACCAGCCATTTAATATCAGGATATGGAAATTACTTTGTGTCAACTCAACCAAAGTTAAAGATTACTAAAGCCACGGTTTGATTGGTAGAGACGCTGGTGCGAAGGTCGCCCTCCTGTCCCCGTCCCGGCTGAAGGAGCGCTTCCCCTGGATCAACGCTGACGGGGTCGCTCTGGCTTCTCTCGGTTGGTCAATGTTTTCCAATCTTTGAAACATCTCACGTGTGCGCTTTGATACTGAGTCACGTATTTATTCGTCACCAAGGCCTGGAGAACGAGGGCTGGTTTGACCCCTGGTCTCTCCTTAACGCTCTCAGACGCAAGGCCCTGTCTATGGGAGTCTATCAGTGCTTTGGAGAGGTCACAGGTCAGGATTCACAACTGCAGGATTTCTTACTATTTGTTTTTATTTAAAGGTTTGAAATGTTTTTTAAAAAGTACTTTAAATGTGATTTTCAGGTTTTAGATGCTCTTCAAATGTGGCCGATATCGCAGATGGAGACTTTGTTGATGTCAAAAGGATAAAATATGTCAATGTAAGTGTTTAACACACATTGGTTTTCACGGATAGCGTCACAGACAGAGACAGAGGTGCTGTGGTTTCAGGTGCAGATGCCCAACAGTCTGGAGTACCAGCCCGTGGAGAGCAGCGTTGTGGTGAACGCAGCCGGAGCAAACTCAGGGAAGATCGCCGCCATGCTGGGCATCGGATCGGGCCCGACAGAGTCCATATCTGCCGTTCCGTTTCCTGTGGAGCCCAGGAAGAGGTCAAGGAGTGTTTATATGGTCATTTGCAGTGGTTTCTTGCCTGCTTGGATGAATAAGCAGTGGCATACACTCTAAAATAAAGAATATTTGAAGAGTTCAGATGCAAAAGCCTCTATATGCCATTTGAATTTTTCTTCTTTAGTGATGATTTTTATCAAACTTGTATATTTAAGTTCAGTAATTTCACTTAAATGGCAATGATAATTACCTATTAATTGTTATTCAAGTGAAATTACTGAACTTAAATATACAAGTTTGATAAAAATCATCATTAAAGAAGAAAATTTCAAATGGCATTTAGAGGCTTTTGCATCTGAACTCTTCATTTTTAGATTATATTATTATTTAAATACTATAATTAATTAAATTAATTTTTGTTTTTACACACTAAAAAAATATTTAATTGTAATTTAACTGAATGGTCAGTGCTAAATATTTAAAAATAACTGTTGAAAGATATATATTACATTAATTGCATAAGATATGGGTGTGTGTACACTATAAACACACACACAGAGTTGTGGTCGGAATTAATGGCACCCCTGGTAAATATGATCAAAAATGACTGTATTGTTTATCATTTAGATTTTTCATTTAAAATATTTGCATCTAGCCTTTCATTGAATTAAAAGAATTGAAAGTGGGGGGAATCACATTATGAAATAAATGTTTTTCTCCAAAACACGTTGAGCAATATATATTTTTTTATTTTACAGCCATTTTTTTAAAATCATATTTACCAGGGGTGCCATTAATTCTGACCAAAACTCTGTATATATATAAACAAAAAAATTTTATGTTAAATGCGATTAACCATGATTTTACAGTCCTAATTATATTATATTAATAATTATTAATTTTCAATAAAACATTTATATTTAATTTTAATTGACATGAATGAGCAGTGCTAAATATTCTAAAACAGCTTAAAAAAAGATTTAAAACTATTTACTATATATAATTAATTAAATGATTTAAGTTATTAATGAATTGAATGGCATTAATGATATAATTGTGGAGTGTCACAGCATGATTGTCTCTCTCAGGTTTGTGTATGTGGTGCATTGCCCCGACGGCCCGGGGTTAGACACTCCGTTTCTGATCGACTATTCGGGGGTTTACTGCAGGCGAGAGGGACTGGGAGGAAATTACATCACGGGGATGTCACCAGACGAGGTATAGACATGTTCTGATCTGAACTCATTCATTCATATTCAATTCATTCATTCATATCTCTGCCTTCTGCAGACAGAAGAACCAGACGTCAGCAACCTTGATGTGGATCACGAGTTCTTTCAAGAGAAGGTCTGGCCTCATCTGGCCAATCGGATCCCTGCGTTTGAACGACTGAAGGTGAAAGTCGGAATGTAGTATTGTTATTGTGAAGGGAAAGGTTTCTTCAGGTTTGTCTCGGGACTAATTTAGCAGTTTCTGATGCTTTTAACGTGGTAAAGTGCAGTGTGTGGCTGAGAACTGTGTGTCGGTCCGATTTAAGCACTTCGTTTTCCGTCCGTCAGGTTTCAGGCGCGTGGGCTGGATTTTACGACTACAACACCTTTGACCAGAATGGCATTGTGGGACTGCACCCTCTGGTGCACAACATGTACTTCGCCACGGGCTTCAGCGGGCACGGGCTCCAGCAGTCTCCGGCGGTCGGACTCGCCGTGGCCGAGCTCATCCTGGATGGGGGATTCAAGACCGTCAACCTCAGCGCCTTCGACCCGAGACGGATCCTCCTGCGGGAGCCCATGCTGGAGAGCAACATCGTGTGACGACTGAAGAGCACACACACACACACACACACACACACACAGGACGGAGCCGCTGAACATGAACGTTACAGAAGCTCATCGCGGTTCAGACTCTCAGCGAATCAGGAGGAATTATCAGGACATTAAAGAGGAGCGTTATAAATGACTTATGGTAGAGATCAGGGAATTAGTTTCTTATTGCATATATTTAAATATGACATAGATCATGAGATATCATATTTTTTTATATTTGTCTTATTTTCACTATTTGAGAAATGAATACCAGAAATAATCATAAACTTTAAAAGTTTGTCCTAAAATGTAAAGCAGCCTTCATGGACTGAACGTTATAAATCTGTTCATTTTTAAATGTCTGTTAATATGGATGTGAATATTGTGGAAGAATGCTGAAAAAAAAATGATTGTAGCATTATTTTATTAAAAAAGTAAAGTGGACTCTACTTTAAACTCTACTGTATATACGAGAAATGAATACAGAATTTAAAATACACACTCTTTAAGCAGAAATCAAAAACATTAACACTTTGTATTAAAGTGTACATTTACAGCATGCAAAAATGAACATGTTTCTTTCAGCTAAACAATCCTTTAAAATGTTGTATCACGTATGTATCAAAGTTATAATCAGTATAAAGAACCAAAATTGACCCATCAATATAGAAGATGCGAGTCCAGCTTTATCTCTTTGCCTTCTTCTGAAGCTGGTCAACGGTAGATGTCGCTTTGCGTTTTACACCTGCAGGGAAAACCAGAATCAGACTTTGACTCAAGAAACTCATCAGAAGATCATATATTTTTATAATTGTGAATAATATCAATATTTTAGGTGTAAATAATGACCTTTAGTGATGGGTTTGTCCTCTGGAGAGCGCTTTGCATAAGCTGCTTTCATTCTCTGAATATTCTTTTTATGTACGACTTCATGATCCACAATCGGACGAGGGTAATCTTTTCCCACAATGCACCCTGCTCTCTCCTGAATGCTGCGAGGAGCTTTCCAGGGCTCGTATATGTACTCCGCAGGGAATTTCTTCAGCAGCGGAAGGTATTTCCTGGTAGACGTGAAGAGAGTCGAGTTATTATTTAGTAGGAAGTTGTTTCAGATACGCTTAAACCAGAACAGAATGTAAAAACAGAAACTGACTTGATGTAATCCCCATTTTTGTCTGTTTTCTTGCCAAAGGCGACGGGAGAGTAAACCCTGAAGTATTGATGGAAGAACGCGCTGGCCGAGAGCCACTGCCAGTTTCCTGCATTCAACGACCAATCAGCATCCAGCAGCAGCTCCTCGAACACCTTCGGATGACAGTGATGACGGGTTAATGATGATTATACGTCTCATCGAGCTGGTTTTGTACTATAGCGGGTCCTCAAACCTTCTGGCCTTCCTCCCAGCTGATCCACAAGTCTCCTCGGGTCAGGAAACAGGCGACCGCGTGCCGGGCCAGATGATGGATCCAGCCCTCCTGACGCAACTGAGTCATGATGGCATCAATGAACGGGAAACCGGTCCGAGCCTGAAATCACACACACACACACACACGTCCTCTGTAAACAGCAACCGAAAACTGTCTTTTGGACCTTGAACTGTTTGGACCCCATTGAAGTCCATTATATGGAGAAAAATGCGGGAATGTTTTCATCAAAAACCTTAATTTCTTTTTTCGACTGAAGAAAGAAAGACATGGACATCTTTGATGACATGGGGGTGAGTAAATTATCATCAAAAGTTTTTTGTAAAGTGAACTACTCCTTTAACCCTCAGGTGCTCTTCGGTCATTTCTGACCGAAAAATTTTCTGTTTTGAATTTTTAAAAATCACAGCTTCATCGCAATGTTACAAAACTTGGTGACTTTTGTGGCATTATGTATGTGAACACACAAAAAAATTGAGGTCATGATCTGAGCATGCTAAGTGGTCTTAAAAAAAATAGTCACACTTGTGGTCTTTGGTCAAAAATGACCCCCATAGGAAATGAATGGGAAATTGTAAAAAAAAAGAAGAGATTGTTTCAAATATATATTCAAATCCACCAACAACAACAAAAAAAATCTAGTGGTTACACCATGATTCTATGCTTTTTCTCAATACTGTAACCAGATGGTGCTAATTTTCTTCAAAAAATATTTTTTTTCTGAAGGCCTAGACTCTATATTAAACTAAAATACTGCATTAATATTTAAAAAAAAAAAAAATATATATATATATATATATAGAAAAATATATATAATTTCCCATGGCAAAAATAAACCATAAATATTGCATAAATATTAATAAATTCAATTAAATTGTCTCAAAATACTAAATTAAAAAGAATAAATATTATAGAACAAAAATAAATTACATTGGTTTTACTGGGCTGGAGAAAGTTTCATTTTTAGGTGTCCGGTCACTTTTGACCGGGAAGATAACAAGTGTGACTCAGAAACGAAAAGCACCTGAGGGTTAAAAAAATTGGTGCATCATCACTGTATCATTGAGTTTTAGCACAGTCACAGCACCACAGCTTGGCTTTACCTCCCTCCACGCAGCGAGGTGCTCCGGATGGTTGTCCCAGTCCACCTGCACACAGTGAGGGTTTCCTTCCATCCTGTCGAAGTTGGGGATCCCGACGGCAGTGGTGTAGAAGAACTCTCTCCACAGCAGCTGGCCATGCAGGGACACCGGAGGCTCAGAGTGCTTCTTCTGCAGGACACACACACATCACACTCTTCAACTGTTCAATCTAGCGGCGCAGGTCACGCGCGAGACGGCTCACGTACCGCTCTGTACACGTCCGAGAGCCTCCACCAGAAGGTGCGCGCGGACAGGCAGCCGGACCGCACATACGGGCTCAGGACGGTGGTGCTGGGGGTCAGGGCGTTCGGGGACGTCTGTGGTTTTTCAAACTTGCACACCCACCCCTGCACAAAGACATTTGGCAAGATCATATTGTTATATATGGATTGTTTTGCTTGATTAAAGCTATGATGCAGCAATATGAGGTTAGAGGTACCGTATATTTACTGGAATCACTGTATTGCATTTCATGATGCATTTTGCTCACCACAATGAAAATGACCTTTAATCATTTAATTAAATAGTACAATTATATTTCATTTTTAAAATAAGATATTTAAAGTGGGAATTAATATGTATATGCATTTTTATGCATGAAGCCTTTTCATTAACTTTTTAAGGTAAGCTATTCTATCTTCATAATATAGAAATATATATTCAAATATTGTGTGTTGTAGTATATATTTGTACATATTTTATTTTAAGGTCAACGATTTGGAGTTTGGTGTTAAAAAAAAATTGTACTATCTGATCCTTAACCCCACCCCTAATCCTACCCATCTCCGCCCCCTGATCCCTAACCCCACCCCTAATCCTACCCATCTCCGCCCCTGATCCCTAACCCCACCCCTAATCCTACCCATCTCCGCCCCTGATCCCTAACCCCACCCCTAATCCTACCCATCTCCGCCCCCTGATCCCTAACCCCACCCCTAATCCTACCCATCTCCACCCCTGATCCCTAACCCCACCCTAATCCTACCCATCTCTGCCCACTGACCCCTAACACCACCCCTAATCCTACTCATCTCCACCCCCTGATCCCTAACCCCACCCCTAATCCTACCCATCTCTGCCCACTGACCCCTAACACCACCCCTAATCCTACTCATCTCCGCCCCCTGATCCCTAACACCACCCCTAATCCTACTCATCTCCACCCCCTGATCCCTAACCCCACCCCTAATCCTACCCATCTCCGCCCCCTGATCCCTAACCCCACCCCTAATCCTACCCATCTCCGCCCCCTGATCCCTAACCCCACCCCTAATCCTACTCATCTCCACCCCCTGATCCCTAACCCCACCCCTAATCCTACCCATCTCCGCCCCCTGATCCCTAACCCCACGCCTAATCCTACCCATCTCCGCCTCCTGATCCCTAACCCCACCCCTAATCCTACCCATCTCCGCCCCTGATTCCTAACCCCACCCCTAATCCTACCCATCTCCGCCCCCTGATCCCTAACCCCACGCCTAATCCTACCCATCTCCGCCCCTGATCCCTAACCCCACCCCTAATCCTACCCATCTCCGCCCCCTGAGCCCTAACCCCACCCCTAATCCTACCCATCTCCGCCCCCTGATCCCTAACCCCACCCCTAATCCTACCCATCTCCGCCCCCTGATCCTTAACCCCACCCCTGGGGGTTGTTGGGCATGTACCGGTCTCTGCATGTGCTCATCCAGCCTGCGCAGAGCTTCCTGTTCGCCCCCCGGGAACAGATCTGGTCCTAAGGATGATGCATCCAATCCAAGATCTTCAAGCGTTGGAATTCCAAACTTCTCTTCATGGTCCTCAGAAATTGGAGTGGACACACCTTCCAGAGAAAGAGGCATAATGAAGGAGAGCGAACCAGCAACAATCCGATCTCATTCAGTATGATGTTGGGGCAGATACCGCTCATGTCTTCTTTGGTTGGAGCAGGAACAGGTTTTTTAGGAGGTCCGATGGCCTTCAGCACACTCTGGAAGCGAACGTAAGTCAGGGGAGTCTTGCCGTTGTTCTCGTCGATAATTCTGTATGAAAAAGCAGGTGAGTGTTTCTGTGCAAATCTTTATTAAAATATGATTTACACATTATGAGGCTTTACCTGTCAATGTTGTAGAGAGTGTGAGAAATCTTTGGAATAACTTCCACGCCATATTCCTTGGCCAACTTCATGACTTCCTCATCTCTGCTCCGACTGTACGGCTCCGTATCAACCTCAAAAGTCAACCGAGTGATCTCCCACTTCTCAAAGAGCTTCGGAAGGACCTCTGTGGGCGGCCCACTGACAACAAACAGCCTAGCGGTGCAATAGATTACACAAAACATGCTTGAGAAAAACATCCACCCCATCTTTAGCTTGTCTTAGAATAGTTTTTGTTTCTGTCCCACCTGGAGTTGAGTTTCTTCAGACTGGAGTCCAGGTCTTTGAGAGCCTCCATCAGAAATCTCCATCGGTTGATGCCGATGCGAGTGTTGGTGGAGTACCAGGGGTCCAGCAGGAACAGGGGGTAGATGTGTCTACAGTCCTTCAGGGCAGCGATCAGAGCCGGGTTATCATGTAAACGCAGTCCTTTGCGGAACCAGTGAACGGAGTTTTGGCTCATGGTGACGTTCGGCACGCGCAGACCTCCACACAGGTACTCAAGAGGACACTGGAAAAACACAAAAGTCCATTTACACACATGTGTTTTATATAATGTTGGTTTTAAAATGGACTTCAATAGGAATATTTTCATAATAATAATTTCTGTTTTGTATTTTTTGCTTATATGATATTTTGTTAATTTTGCCCTTTTCTCTTTTTTTGGTTTATTTAAAAAAAAATTAAGAGGTTTAAATGGAACTTAACTTTTTATATAATATATATATATATA